GTGAGTGGGAGACAAGAAGAACCAAAGAAAATGCATGTTGTATTTACAGCGTTTGTGTTTTACCTTGGAGAATAAAGTCGAGGGCATCTGCACGACCCTGTGGTCTAGTGACGACATTATCAGCTCTGGGGGTGCGGCAATCGGTCAGGTGGGGGGCCCCCCAATATTAGATTTTTCTCGTTCGGTCGCACCTCGGATATTAGATATCGCAGCTCCTCTTGCCTAATCACATCATTAAGGGTTTCAGAAAAATAAATGTAAACCGCGTTTAAAATCAGGGTTGTTGTTATTCACACCGTTGTTGAAAACAGATATCGTGGTGGTTGTCAAGGGGGGGGGGCCCAACTTATAGCTTTGGCCACAATGGGGGGCCATGGCACCCCCTGACTGCCCCCCACGCTCGTTACGCCGCTACTGGCACGACCCAAAAGACGGATTCACACTCAGAGAAAAGTCTACCTTGATGGGGGAAGTCAGATTCTCAATGCGGGCTACAATAGCAACGCACGGGGCAATGCGAGACACCATCCCATACTCGATACATTTCAACTTCGGAGCTTCCTGAATGCTAGCCACGAGCCTCGATTTCGTTTCAAGTAAATGTAACTTTATTTTTAAACTATTAATTCACGTCATAGTCCTCATTGTCATAACTTTTCAAACTATATTTGTTCCCTCATTTGGGCATTCAAAGTTTGTGCGTTCAATTGGGAACGTTACACTTAAATGGAGAATAACACGATTAGGTTGAGATTACTTCTTATAAAAGGCTCACATTGTTTTCGTTCATATAAATAAGAACACATTGTCACTTTTAGAATACGGCACTGCAACAGCGAAGCCTTGCCCCAACGGCGGCAATGATAACATCGTTGTTGTTGTTGTTGTTTTGTGCGGCTCTACGCCGCACATTGTGCCCCATGTTCATCACGTCCAGACCCCCCCCCCCACAGTGAATATATTTAAACTAAAACTAAATCATAGACATTTTTTTTATTTTACCAGGTAAGGCCCACTTCAGCTTTGTAGCTCTTTTTCAGAATTTTCCTGGCCACAAATGATAGCTCAACGAAGTGGCTTATCACGTGGAAATGTACAGCAGCAGCCGAGGTGTGGGCACTCCCTCCTCTTTCAGATGCCTGGCCAGCGAGTAAGAGTCGGCCAAAGTGCCCTCGAGAAGAGTCCTCGAGAGCTGCCTTGAGCAACTGTGCAGGGAAGGGCCACATGGGCACGGTGAGGTTGATGTGGCCCGCTCGATGTTCGGGTACGGTACAATAAGAAATAGAGGTCATTCCATCTAGATTTGAAGTTGTTTACCTTACCTATATAGCCTCTTGTTACAAGCAGCCCTTTTGGCCACTTCAGCAATTGTTTTTTGCTGTGGTTGTCCGCACCTGATGACGGGACGCTTGTGTTGCGCCCGAAACGTCGTGATTGAATCTTATTTTATCTTATACCTACGTAACTTTACCGAAAGAACCAAAGAGTGTGGAGGCCATCCCTTCACGGCACGACGAAGGATCACAGAGAGCACCGCGGCCTGCCCAGAGAGGGGGGGGGGGGGGACGAGAGGCGCTTCGTGCCACGCCTCGCACATGTTACGATCGAACATTTTCACGAATAGAATTATTGCAATAAACGCGTCATCGTCGTCGTTTTTTTTTTAATCGGAGAAATGTTGCGTGGCGAAAGGCAATTTGGATGTACGCCTTGAACCAAGTGGACGAATGGAAATAAGGGGAGGGAGGGGGGGCGGGGAAACTCGCGGGGTTCTGTCCCGGACCTCCAGGGAACCTTAATGGGTGGCCCTGTCAACTCCCTCTCGTCGTCATCATCATCATCACCATCGTCAGACACAATCCCCTTCTTTACGACCGCTCGCTCACGGCTGAGCAGCCCTACACCCGCGCCGAAGCCGTCCCAAACAAACGCCATGAAAGGTTCTCCCGGACACCACCAACATCTTCTCCATCCCCCCCAGCCTGCAACCCCTCCTCTGCACCCCTTCCAAATGAGCTCACCCATCTGGCACGGCCGTCCTGACAGGTTTGCCCGACAATCATCGCAACGTCGCTGTAAAAGTCACGAGAGTAAAGACGTCTCAAATTACGAAACGTTTCAAACGACGCCAGCTGTTTCAATCGACAGTGGGTGCCACTGAACGGGTTTCAGATGCCGTGTCACCGCAGGAGCCAAGCGTAATAATGGAATGGTGAAAGATAATAATGGGTTTCACCCTTTCTGGCAATGAAACAGGAGTTGTGTTAAGATGTGCAAACACCGAATGGATTCCTTTTGCAAAGCATCAAGTTACTGCATTAACCACAGACGGTACTTGTGGTGAACATGCAAACAATTATGCTCTGATTACACTCTGTAACAAAAACAAATGTTGTTCCTGTGTAGTACGTGTTATTTCCTAATTGCTTATGCCTTAAACGTACAGAAAATGACTATTATTTTCCACAAAATTTTCTTTTGTGACCAGGACAGTGGTATTTTTAAATGTATCTATTTTAAATGAGAAAACGTGTGCATTTATGTATTTCGTTCACATAAAGTCCTGGTCACAAAAACTTTGTGGGGAATAATAGCAATTTTCTATACTTCTTAAGCATAAGCAATCAAAAAAATAACACTTAGTACCCAGGAACAAACATTGTGTTACTACGTGTAATATACTGTTTGTGTTTTAAATGAATTGGCCTACACTAGAGAGGGACTTCTTCGTGGCCTCGTCTCACCAATTGTCAGACCAGAGAACGACAAAAGGGGGACTGTACAAAGACAATGCCACTATCAGAGACACATCGCTCGGGTCAAGCAGTTCTATATATATGGAATACGTTTTTTCGCCTGCATTCAAAAGTATGAAAAATAAGAATAGGTTTCACCTTTTCTGGCAATTATACAGGTGTTAAGGTGTTCGAACACCACCAAATCGATACCTTTTGCAAGGCATCAAGTCTGCAAAAGTTTCATGATGATAATAATGATGATGATGATGAAACTCTCTGGCAATGAGTGAGGGCAGCCGTGGAGGCTTCTGTTTGGATTTACTGCAGCGGTGGCCCAAGCGGTGAGTGAGGGCAGGTGACAAGAGCTGGGCACTGAGCACACGCGTATTGCATGATGCAGACAGAACCGTTGGCTTTGCATTCCGTCTCTGTGCAGGTGATGGTGGATATGCACGTGGTTTGTAATGCAGCAGCGAGGGTTGGTAGGTCGCACAGATGTTGCGAACCTCCCTACCCCGTGGGTGGGCATCGAGGAGAATGCAGTACAGCAAACATGCGGACTCCACGTGTTCCGTCTGTGTGGGATAGAGTGCTTCCCCCTCGCACGCGTAGGTTTTCTCCGGATTCTCCAGTTTCTTCCCACATGTAAACGCTCTAATTGGTCGATAACATCTTAATATATAGAGGACTGCAGAGCTCGGGCAATTGTAGGTAGAGCCGGCTCGCCGTCTGGCTATATCTGCCTTCTCACTTGTTTGTGGTTCCTCCTCGTGTCCTCTGTGTCGTTCGAGAGTGAGTGCATACAAGTTGATATTAGACGTTAGATACTATGCATGTGCATGGTAGCACGTTCGCTGTGAGCACCGTTAATTTGGCATTGCGCAATAGCGCGCTCTTGGCATAGCCAGCGCACAGGGCGCGCGCCTCGCTGTGTCGGGGGAACTCCCGGCAGTTCTCCGTGCCAAGGCTGGGCATCGGACTGCCAAACGCAGTGGTCCACGACCCAGGGTGGTCACGTTGAAATCACGCCGTGCGGACGGAAACATCGCAAGCACCAACTGCAACGGGGGGGTTGGCTGGCCACATCTAAGGCGAACGGGAACACGCATAATGAATTCGTGGTTAACATGAATTCACGCGTGCACGAATGGGTGACTGGACGATAACATGAGTGAATAAATTGGCGAATGAATGGTTGAATTTATGCACGGATAACGTGAATTAATGAATACATCGAGGTATGCTTACATTGATCAATGCATTTTTTTTATGTATTAACGAATAAGTTAATGCATTATTGCACAAAGGAACAAAAAAACACATGGATTAATGAAACTCGACTATGTTTAATATTTTCGCGGATAGTCGAGTTGCAAACAAGAGGAGTTATGCAATTGCAGTTCACGGGACATCCTCCATAAAGGACATTAAGGCCCTCCAATTAGACTAGGTTTAAACTATAACTTTACTACGAAATATATTTATCTTGCCAGGTCAGGCCCACTGAGCTATGTAGCTCTTTTTCAGAAGCGACCTGGCCACAAATGACAGCTCAACGTAGTGGCTTATCGCGTGGAAATATATAGCAGCCAAATGCTTTAAACGCACTTTGATTTTAAATGTGGAAGGTAAAACCGGAGGACCCGGAGAGAAACACGCAAACTCCAAATATACAGCAGCAGGCGTCAGGGTCGGAATCGAACCCACGACCTCCTCCGCACCAGGCCAAGGTAGTTAACGTCTCATCGCCACCATGGCGAGATGAATGCCCTCTGCAGCATTTTCACGTTTCATCTGCCCATTTAAAATCGCACCGCTGTTAACAAACACAATTTTAAAAACCATAACAACCACGCAACGCATTTCTATCCCACCACTGAGTCGTTAGCGGCGAGAGCCCTCTTCGCTAAATGGACTACTCTTGGGTGGGAACTCTCTCTTCCGACGAGAAGTCGTCGTTCTCGGCTGTCACGTTGCAGCATTGACACCCCCCCCCCCCGTTTCAGCGTTGATATCTCGTTGTATTCCGCCCAGTTTGCGTGCCCCTACCGTTTGGTTTCCACTCTCAGCAAAAAAGAAAACGTGGTGGGGAGGGGGGTTACAGTTGTTTGAAGGTGTCCTTTTAGGGAAATCGTTCCCTTGTAATTGGTATTCAAAACTAAAATAATAAATGACGTTACAGTGCGGGAGCCCTTGACCATTAATGGGCTTTTTTTCCCATTTTCTCTCCCGCCTCCTCGCAGAAGCGTGGCGGGCGGCTACCAAATAAGGCGTCCTGGGGAATCTGGCGTTCTCGCGAAAGTATTTCGCACGCGGAATGCAGCCGTGTGGGTGACGGTATAAAAACGGGTAGCACGCGGTCAAAACGCCCCACCAAAAACTTTGTTCGCCTCGGAAATCTCTCGCACGCAAAAAATACATAAACGAGCCGTGAAAAGGTAAGAAAGTGCGCGTTTAATTTTATTGGCAGTACTTGCTGACGGCGGTGTATCGAGTTTTTTTTTGTCCTCGGTTTACTTGTGGATTTGGGTAACACACGATATTGTCTGACAAACTCTGCCCTGAGTACTGTGGGGTTGTTAGAAGCTAGAGAGTTCGATCAAAAATCAAGTTCGACAACAGCACGATCGTACGAGCTGAGCGACTTTCTAAAAAAAACTACATTTTAAGCTGTTGAAAATATCGACTCACGTGTGTGTGTCATTTAAACGTGATACAAATGTAAACCTGCAATGTTAATAGGGCATGTGCATAGTGAGGACTGCTCGAACAATCTGCATTTAATTTCAATTTAGCAAATGGAATAACAACGGATTTTGTGCAAGCGATACTTCTTGGTTCGATGTCACTTAAATTGGCATCACCTGTACAGGAACACTTTTCCTCGTGTTAGCTGCTGCTGTTGCTATTGCGGTAACGTGCAAAGTGGATCGTAGTCAACGTTGATGTTGTAAATCGTTCGTATTTTAAAACGTTGATATTGTAAAAATGTTGATGGTTTAAAAGGTTGACGTTGTAAAATGTTGATGTTTTAAAAGGTTGATGTTTTAAAACCAGCGGTGGCACAATTCTGACACATCGTGTGACACCTGCACGATGACTGTGTGGTTACTGCAGCAGCAGCCACCACCACCACCATCATCATGTGCGACGAGGAGACGACGGCTCTTGTGTGCGACAATGGCTCTGGGCTTTGCAAGGCGGGCTTCGCGGGAGACGATGCCCCCCGCGCCGTCTTCCCCTCCATCGTGGGGCGGCCCAGACATCAGGTAACGACGGGTCCCGTGCCATCATCACCGCGTCCACCTCTCAGAGCTGAGCGCGTGACACGAGAGAGAGAGAGAGACGCGCGCACTGCGGGGAGGCAATCTTCACGTGCCGTCGTTTTTTGCGGTGTGGTTGGGGTTTTAAAAATATATTTTTTGGGGGGGTTAGAGAGCGGTTTTGTGTTTATTTTGTGTGTGTGGTGTCGACACTGCTCTGTCGCGAGACGCACAACCTTGGTGGCTGGTGGCCTCACCACGCGGTTCGAGAGACAACGAAGGGGATTTCAACAGCGTTGCTTCAAAGCCGGGGGGGCGAGGGGGGGCTTACTAGTACGCTGCGAATGTTGCTGAAGAGACCCAGTTCCAGCTCTGTGGATACTTTTTTTGGGAAACCCAGCAAAAGGGCATCGCTCTAGGACGCCGACTGAGTGACCTTGGGGTGCTCTCTCGCTCATCGGATCCCTGCAGTGCAAACACAGATTCTGATTCTGAAACGAGGCACGCTGGAAGCTGCGTGGTTCCACGGTCGACACGGAGTCTCTGGGGCCGTCAAGCTGCCGAGTTTCGTCGCGATTCGCCCAGGGAGACTGAGCCGACCGCAAGCAGATGGGCTGCTGTGGACTGAATGACGATCCAGCCACGCCACGTGTGTCTGAGTTAGTGAGTTAGTGAGTTTCGATTTAAAGCTTTCGTGACTGCAGGGATTCATTCATCTTCTTGGTTCTTTCGGTAAAGTCACGTCGAAGGGAAATAATAAAATAATAAAAATAAAACATAATAAAATGTTTTATTTTTACTATTTTATTATTTCCCTTCTACGTGAGTTTACCAAAAGAACCAAGAAGAGTTAGTGAGTGTGTGTGAGTTAGTGAGTTAGTGTGAGTGTATGTGAGTTAGTGAGTTAGTGTGAGTTGGTGAGTGTGTGTGAGTTAGTGAGTTAGTGAGTGTGTGTGAGTTAGTGAGTGTGTGTGAGTTAGTGAGTTAGTGAGTGTGTGTGAGTTAGTGAGTGTGTGTGAGTTAGTGAGTTAGTGTGAGTTAGTGAGTGTGTGTGAGTTAGTGAGTTAGTGTGAGTTAGTGAGTGTGTGTGAGTTAGTGAGTTAGTGAGTTAGTGTGAGTTAGTGAGTGTGTGTGAGTTAGTGAGTTAGTGTGAGTTAGTGAGTGTGTGTGAGTTAGTGAGTGTGTGTCGGGTCCCTCCAGTGGTGGAGCGCTAGTGTAGCGGTAAGCGCGCTGCGCTACGAACCTGCCCACCCGGGGTCGTATTCCCGCTCAAGGCCAACACAAGTGACGATGATCTGAACCGGTCCTGGGCCTCCCCTAGGGCGACTCGGCCTCAAATTAGTATATGGTGCGATGTGTAAACATCGTCACTGGGGAGACAAAGGCGGCCGGGCGTGGTGCAGGCCACCCCCCTCGTGTGCCGTGCTGGCCTTGTTAAGGCTATACGGGGGATCTTTGTCTTTTGAGTGTGTGTGTAGACATTCGTTAAATCGGAGTGAACACGTAGAATACACTCGCTGGATGTTATACTTAATGTGGTAGGCTGAGTTGGGATTTTTTTCTTAAATAAAATAACGCGCAATTTATTTTTGTGATGTATAACTTACACACAATATAGTTCAATGATAAATTACGGTTGAATAAATATATTTTCCATTTGGTGAATTTATAAGGCAAGTTTCATTATGGTATTTTGCCTTGATTCATTTTAAGGTTTTACAAGTCCAGTGTACACCAATAGTTCAGTTTTAGTTATGAGCTGTAATATATAAGCATTTACAGATTTTCACATTCATTTGTTAGCGTGTATGTAAGATGAGCCTTTACACAGTTCTATTCCTCTTTTGATACAATGCAGCGTACACGGGCAATGATCACTCTTGAGATAAGCCATAATGAATACAGCATTATTATGCAAATGTCTCTCTTAATGAATCTACCCACATAATCCATCCCATCGTTAATGCCTTTTCATTCGGTGGTTGAATAACGGCTCAAGTATCACAGTCAACAATCTTTATTTAATTTTAAAGCTTTCGAGACCAATATTGTGATTAAAAATCTATTTTTTTGGGGTCATCGCGTGAGTAAAAATGTTGTGTCGTAAACCCTCCGCCACCCGACACAGCCAATTAATGAAGTTGTCACGTGAACAAACTTGCCAATTCGTTCTCTGCTTCAGCATTCCGGGGTATAGGAGGCAACTTGATAAATTGTCTGTCGGCTACGGGAGGGTGCATCACACCGATGTTACTCACACGATCTGACCAAGAAACCAAATATGTACCGTCAATCTGCGTTGTGATTCGCTAAGCACGTGGGCTTGCCCTGTGGAGTGACTCATGGGCAGTGAGGTATGTTGTGTTACACGAGGAGACTTTTGTTAATTTGGGGAGCAACGTTGACATTTAGTTTGTGAAGAGTCTGGTGTAACAGCGGGCAGTTTCCACGTATCGATCTTCATGCATCTGTACGAACAGCAACATTACTTTTGCTCCTTACGTTAAGTATTCAAAGCGTGCCTAATATGCTTGTTTTTATACATACTATCGGGTTTGGTAGGGGGTGGGTAAGATTGGGTAAAAGGCCTCGTTTTGTCCTGGTGCTGACAGAAGTGGCGTCACCCGCCACGGTCAGGTTGAGGTGCACATGGGAGCCCCACTCTATAGAGGCCCTGCTGCTGCTGTTGGTGTCTGCAGCTCAACAGAAAAAGCACGTGCGAGCACCAGGACAAAAAATGCCTTTTAGCCCACGTAGGCCTCTTTACTCCCTACTATCCGGCACAGGCCGCGCTGTGAATCTGTGCCAGTCGTCGCGTTGCACAACTCCGGGGAGCTTTCTCTGCCGACGTATCGAACTTGCCCCTGTCTCAACAATGTCCAAGTGGCAGCCTCATGCCACGTTCTATGCTCATATTATACCTTTTTAGAAAGGAAAAAAAACGAACCGCCACTGAATATAAAAATTGAACTGAGATTCACGAAGGGAAACTACTACGGGAGCTGGACGAGGTTGAACTTCCTCGTACCCACAAAGGCAATGGGCATGAGGTCACTTGGACTGCAGCGCGTGCATTCCCCCCTACACTGACCTGGGGCTTGGCCACCACAGTCCTCGTGACTTACATTCACTCGCGGGGATTTGTATCCTGAAATGCAGCTCCTCTGAGCATGTCTGGGTCAACATTTAACGATGTCCGTGTCGCTGAGATGTCACGGTGTTCATTGTGTTCTCGGTAACGTGAAGACACGTTAACAGGAGGGCCGCAATCAGGTTATCGTTTCTTTGTTGCGACCCAACACCCGTGGACCGTGTAGTAGACCACTCTGGGCTGCACTCCTTCATTGGAGGAGGCAAAGTAAAACGCCGCAAATTCCCTCTCCCGAAGCCCTCTCGTGGCTAGCAGGCCTCGCCATTGGCACGTCGCTCTCGTGCTTATTGCCATCGTGCGCCAGAATAGAGAGCGATTATGAAATAGTGACATGTTCTCGATCTCACGATCGAGATACGAAGAATCATTATTCAAAGTTGTTCACATTATGGTTTTTCTCTCTCTCTCATGATTTTAAAGTCGGTCACGTAGTTTTTTTGTTTTGTGTATTTCGCTGTCGTACGGTATTCAGTTCCTAACGCCTGAGCCTCAACTCGACTCGTGTGCTTCGTCTCGACAAGTTTCCTGGACTTTGGGTGACCAGGCGGGATGGGACTATAGGGGAGGGTGGGGGGTGGGGTCCAGCAATATCCTGGTGCCACTCATGGCCATACAAGGGGATTGACTTCCAAGATCGAGTTGTGGTTTGGGGGATCTCGAGGGGGCGTGCGACATTTGAAGAGGACTCGCCCACGTCAACGTTGGAGTCCGCGGCAGATCACGGGCCTCCAGCCGAGTGGCACAGCGGTCGTCTCGCAGCGTACGTTGGGACCTCTTTCGCAACCGCGCATAGCCGAGCGTGCCAAATCGGAGGCGCAATCTCAAGGCCACCTTCTTGGTTCTTTCAGTAAAGTCACGGAGAAGGGAAGTAATAAAATAATAAAAATAAAACATAATAAAATAATTCTCACGACGTTTCGGCCACAACGCAAGCAGCCGTCTTCAGGTGGAGAACAGGTCTGTCAAGTAGACAGAGTCTGAATGGCACGCTCCAGGCTTGGAGCGACTATTTATGCTGGGGTGGAGGGGCGAAGAGCGTCTTGACAAAATAATTTGCATATCAAGAGGAATTTAGCATATTTATGGGAAATGCAGATATGCGATTAGTACTACTTGTGATATGCGTAGGAGGTTTGGCGAGGGGTTTAAAGTCATTATGCCCATGCATTATGCAGGAATCCACATTCAGGGAGTCAGGGGCCTCGACCCAATATTTGTTGTTGTTGCTGCAGCTGGGAGTGGCCCGCGGACACCTTTGTTAGACACGTGACGAGCAAAGTTAGCCAGTTGCCCCATCTCGGTCGGGATGGCCGGGGTTTTTTTTTTATCTGAGCTCACGTCACGGTGAGGTGGGTTGGTGGCTGCTGGTTGGTGCGAGCAATGAGACGGAGCCTCTACTCCACCACTATGAAAACAAATTAAGAATAGGTTTTTACCCTTTCTGGCAATTTAACAGGAGGTGTTAAGATGTTCTAACGCCAAATAGAAACCTTTCGCAAGGAATCAAGTCTGCATTAACCACACATTATTGTGGTGAAGATGCAAATAAACTCTGATAATATATGGCGTTGTCTTTGAAATTGATTGGGCTACACCAGAGCCTGCACTCTTTATGGCCTAGTTTCACTACCAGTGTCAGACCAGAGAACGCCAAAGGCGAACAGGACAAGGACAATGCACGGAACAGAGTATTTAGAGCTCGGGGTGAGCAAGAGGTGTCTGTATCGTGTTTGAACATCTTAACGCCTGTTTTGTTGCCAGAAAGGGTAAAAGCTCGTCTCATGTTTCGGTAAAGTCACATAGATAGAAAAATATAATAAAAATCACCACGTTTCGATCGCAACACAAGCAATCGTCTTCAGGTAAAAAAAATACAGCAGGCGGACTGCTGAGGCAGGAATAAATATGTTATAAATACCTGCCTCAGCAGTCCGCCTGCTGTATTTGTTTTACCTGAAGACGATTGCTTGTGTTGCGATCGAAACGTCGTGATTTTTAAAATTATTTTTCTATCTACGTGACTTTAACGAAAGACCCAAAGAGTATGAATTCCTGCAGTCACGAAAGCTTTACGTCAAGATCTAGTCTTATTTTTCATACTTTGGTACTTGCAAAAACGTCCTGTGATATCTACTACACGAAGTTGGTGCCATTGGCCCACAGGAGACTCATCGACCTGGGGTAGTCCTTCCTTTGTATTACCCAGGGCCCCAACTACCCTCATGTGGTGGTGCCCTCGTCACGACTGGAGCGGTTCCATCTGCCCTTTGGTGGTCGCGTTTCACTCGGGGTGCCACGGCCCCTTGACCTGAGCCCTCTCTCCGTCTTGGCCACCTACTGTTAGGCAGTTGCTCGTGAGCTTGTCCATCTGCCACTGTTGGAGGGGGCTGTGGGACTTGAGGATTTCTGAATAATATTGCTCCACGTGATATCGTAAGCTGTACAGATTCCTCCATCTCTCCAAATTGAACCTACCAGGATTTCAGTGTCGAAACCAATGATGATTAGAATCCTTCGATGAACAGTAGAGGGATGCTCTGCATTACAGCGGCATTAACTATATATCTTGAACTTAAATATATACGTTCAAGAAATGTACCTTATTTATTTATAAATACATGCAGATAAGGTTAACAAAAGCACTTAAGATAAAGTGTAATCTCGACGACTCAAATAAGTTCACGAGGGCCTCACCTATGCAGCCCATGTGACCGAAGTTGTAGTGTGTGTATGTTAACACACTGTGTGTTAAGGGGCCGTCCATAAATGACGTCACTCACCTGGGGGGGGGAGTCAGACATTTGTGACGATGTGTGACGAGGGGGGGGGGGTGAGAATGTGACGTCACAACAAAATGCGCAACTTTAAATAAATATAGACAACACGTTCTACTTAATTAAATAGACTTTTTAATAAATGTTTTCTCCTACAACATCAGAGTGCAGCGCCACAGGAAATACGCACTATAATGACAATAGTTTAAAGCGATTTGAAGCATGTATTTTTTTTGGGGGGGTTCAGAGCTTTGTGACGTCATATTTGAGGGGGGGGGGTCTGACTTTTTGTGACGCCGTGTGACGAAGGGGGGGGGGGGGTCAAAATCGTAATTCATGGACGGCCCCTAACATACGGTGTGTATGTTAACACTGCGCATGCGAAGCTTGTCAAAGTGACTCATAAATCCAGAACAAAGACTCCTCCTGCTATTGCCCCCATTCAGTTGGAGGGCTCGAGACACTGCGTGGTCTCTGAGGGAGATGTACACCATGTGCGTTGAGTTGTATGTAGGTATGTTGAACCTTTTTCGCACCGTACGTAGCCGACCGTGCTAATCGGAGGTGTGTGGGATAAGGACAACAAACTAAACGCGAAAATCAGTTTTAAGGAAGTTAGTTTTTCAATCTCGATGATTTAAAAGTGCATAACTCCAGTGGCTTCCTCATATGGGAAGGACGAGTTGCACAAACAGCGTGAGAACAAATATCGGTGACGAGACGAGTCTATCAGAGCCCCAGCTTAGACATGTCGGTGCCCGGGGAAAGGTGCCACCTTCACAATCCCTGTGGGCCACCAGCCTGCTCACTGCTCTGCTTCATTTCCAGAAATTCTGCTGAAATGAAGCTAAACGGTCCCACTCCCGCTCCGGGCCTCGCCACAGCAATGGAGGTCCACACTACAAACATGCAGTGTGGAACTTGTCGCGACGATCCTGCGGGTAGTCGGATAATAACGCGAGGTTTCAACAGCTCCTCGCGTTTGACGTGGGCTCACACTGAGCGTGAGTGAGTGTGGGGAGCGGTGGTGCAGCGGTTAGCGCACGGTGCTACGAACCCGGTGACCCCAGTGAGTTCGATTCCCGTTCACGAGCACCAACACGTGTGACGATTATCTGAACCTGTCCCGGGCCTCCCCTGGGTCGACTCGGCCTCAAATGAGTACCTGGTGCTGTGTGTGAAAAACATCGCCACTGGGGAGGCAAAGGCGATCGGGCGTGGTGCTGGCCACCCACCCCTTCTTGTGCCACAGCGCCAGCCTTCATAGGTGCACTTCGCTAATAGCACTTGCCCCAACAGTCTGTTAGGGCTACACGGGGGATCTTTGTCTTTGGGGAGCGAGCGGTCGTATAGCGGTTAGTTCTCTGTGCTACGAACCCAGCCACCCGAGTTTGATGTCCGCTCACGGCCACCAACGCACCGTGTCGAATACCTGAACCTGTCCCGGGCCTCCCCTGGGTCGACTCAGCCTCAAGTGAGTACCTATGTAAACATTGCCACTGGGGAGACAAAGGCGGCCGGGCGTGGTTTCTGGCCACCCACCCCCTCGTGTGCCACAGTGTCGGCGGCCTTCGTAGGCGCTGCTGGCTGACAGCACTTGCCCCGACAGTGTGCTAAGGCTACACGGGGGGGATCTTTGTGGTGCGTGCGTGCAGGGCGTGATGGTGGGCATGGGCCAGAAGGACTCGTACGTGGGCGACGAGGCGCAGAGCAAGCGCGGCATCCTCACCCTCAAATACCCCATCGAGCACGGCATCATCACCAACTGGGACGACATGGAGAAGATCTGGCACCACAGCTTCTACAACGAGCTGCGCATCGCTCCCGAGGAGCACCCCACTCTACTCACCGAGGCGCCCCTCAACCCCAAAGCCAACCGCGAGAAGATGACCCAGATCATGTTCGAGACGTTCAACGTCCCGGCCATGTACGTGGCCATCCAGGCCGTGCTGTCGCTCTACGCGTCCGGACGCACGACCGGTGAGGCCCTTTCGCTTTTGCTTTGACTCTCGCAAAAGGCGAACTGCTTTGAGGTGTTTGAAAAACAAAGAAAAAAGCCATCAACGCGTGCTCTTGTCTTTATGAATCAACGTAACATTTGGCATGTTCATGAGATCAACGTAATATTTTGACATGTCTGTCAGATCAACGTAACTTTTGACATGTCTTTGAGATGAACATGACATTTGACATGTCTGTCAGATGAGCATAGCAGTTGGCATGTCTATCAGATCAACATAAGATTTTATATGTCTGTGAGATGAACTGAGAAAGGTATGGAGGTATTTCTATGTAAGGACACTTATCATTGGTAATACTGATAAGGCATGTCTACCTCGTCTGGTCGAGTGGAGGATGCGTAGCAGATAACCTTGCCATCCATCTCCATAACATCTTGTTTTTGTTGATGCTTAGACTATGTACCACGGACATTGCTTCTGCTTTGAAGCAAATGGGCCAATATCACAATGTCCGTGACGTGTTACGGACATACATAATACTGTGTCGGTGGATAGTTTGTCTCGTGTAAAGAGTTATCACTTGGAAATGTGGTTCCATATACAAAGTGGATATCAAACAGTGATCTATTAGACTGGGGATGACCATTGTAGAAGCGAAATAAATAGTCAAATACAGCTCAGGAAAAACAAATATAAAGTTGATTACGTATACAGATGTTTCCGGATCATAGGCTTTGAAATGGAAAGATGTTACTCTACTACTAAAGAATATTTTTGTCCCTTTTTAAAAAGTGCACAGAATCACTTTTTTACGTAGAATTTTCCCAGTCCACCGCAAGATCTGGATGAAGCTACACGCCCCATTGTTACATTCAGACGACATAGCAGGCGCGGTGAAGCCCGTATTGAGGGTTAGAATACACTCAGAATTGAGTGGCATGAAACTACGCATGGGAGTGTTGTCAGGCCTCACCACGAACCAAATGTTCATTTTTTCCTGCTCCAGGTATCGTGCTGGACTCTGGCGATGGAGTGACCCACAACGTGCCAATCTACGAGGGCTACGCGCTGCCACACGCCATCATGCGCCTGGATCTGGCCGGACGCGACCTCACGGACTATCTCATGAAAATCCTCACCGAGCGAGGATACTCGTTTGTTACCACAGGTACTTGATGGAGCACGATGTCCAAATCAAATGAGAAATAACGCGAATCGATCGCGCGGTGGTATGGGTCAGTGGTTATTCGTTGCAAGGCCACCGTGGGCCACTGACGGCCCACTGGTGGCCTTTAGTGCGGCCCCTGACGTGCGGCCCCCGACAATACACAAAGAGCGACAACACCATCCCATCATTATCGTGCCGCTGCCACACCGATGATGTCTTATTGGCGAAAGTGCCCCCCCTGGTATAGGTCAATATTCATCATCGATAATAATATTCATGATTTCAACTTGTAGCGCACGGTGATCCAGACTGAACACCTATCTGTGTGAAAATGGTTTTCTCCCTTTCGCACTTCTTATTTACTGGGTTGTTGTTGTTAACTATTTTCCGCCTTTCCACGAGAACGATTGTTTAAGGGCGCTTTATGAATTTAACTGATTATTGTCGACACCCGCCGTTGCCGTTTTTTTGTTGTTGTGTCGAATAAGCCGAGCGGGAGATCGTTCGAGACATCAAGGAGAAGCTGTGCTACGTGGCGCTGGACTTCGAGAACGAGATGACGATGGCGGCCTCGTCGTCATCGCTTGAGAAAAGCTACGAGCTGCCCGACGGGCAGGTCATCACCATCGGCAACGAGCGCTTCCGCTGCCCCGAGACGCTCTTCCAGCCGTCCTTCATCGGTGAGCCCAGACGCTCCCCCGTCACTCCCAGAGGGTCACACACCCCACCACCCACCCCCCACGTTGTTTAATCTCGCGCACGCGCACGCATCGCCAGGCGTGCACTTGGTGAGGCGAAGTCATCCATAATAGAGTTTTTTTGGGGGTTAGATCGCGTAAATATAAATGTGTCGCTAAACACGCCACCACCCGACACAGTCAACTAGTAAGGTTTGTCACGTAAACAGAATGTGGCCAATTCGTTACTAGTACAGTACACCGGTGTGTTGCAGAGCAAATCCACAATATCCATAACATTTACTCAGATTCTAAATGTTGTGGATTTGCTCTCCAACACACCGGTGTGCTGTACTAGTAACGAATTGGCCACGTTCTATTTACGTGACAAACCTTACTAATTGGCTGTGTCGAGTGGTGGCGGGTTTAAACAACACATTTATATTTACGTTATCTAACCCAAAAAAACGAAAACCTGTATTATGGATCATATTGGTCGCGAAAGCCTTCTTCGTGTTAAAGCCATCCAGTGTCCCCGTCGGTCCGTTTGTGACATATACGTCACGCTGCAATTGCAAATGCAACAGGATGGAGACAGCCCTTGACTCAAGAGCTGCTATCCTGTCGGCGAGTCGCGTTTTATGACGAACAAATAATGGGACTGGGTTATGGTTTTCTGTCGCGTGCCAAGCGTCTGATCGGCACCACGAGGCGCGGTATACAATTGGGGCAACATGACGCTCGCATGCGCGCGACAATGACTCGTGACGGTGGGGGTTGTATCATCGCATTGAACCAACCGTGCACCTTGTCGATATTTCTATCGTAGGGATGGAGTCGGCAGGGATCCACGAAACTACGTACAACTCCATCATGAAGTGCGACATTGACATCCGGAAGGATCTGTACGCGAACAACGTGCTGTCCGGTGGCACCACCATGTACCCGGGTATCGCGGACCGCATGCAGAAGGAGATCACCGCCCTGGCGCCCACCACCATGAAGATCAAGGTATCGTCACTCATCCCGTGACGGGAATATTTAACGACCTGGAGATGTTAGCGCTGTGGCGAGATGTTAGCTACCTCGCCTGGTATGCAGGAGGACATGGGTTCGATCCCAACCTTGCCGCCTGTATATTTGGAGTTTGCGTGTCGATCTCCCCTTGGTCATGTGGATTTTTCTCCGGGTCTTCTGGTTTTTCCCTCCACATTTTAGAAAAATGCGTTTAAGAGTAACTGAACCTTATGGCGGGACCCCGGGGTCCCATAAGCCCTCGGCTCTCGCATAAAATGCGTTGCGACGTAATTTTGTCTGTTGAAAGCGAACGATACAGAAATCTATTCCTCTCGATGAGCTCTAAACGATGCGCAATTCTAAGTTTCAAAGTTTTGTTTATGACTACGGCAACTTTGGCAACTTGCTTGGTGAAGAACGAGAGGATGGAATTGTGAAAATTCCGTCACAGTTCCTATGATTGCTTTTTCATTGCTTTCATAGCTTTATTTTGGTGATTTCGAAAAGTGTATTGGTTTGGCCATGTTTGTTTGTTGTAGTACAGAGTTAGACTGATGGCCTTAATCTAAGTTGTCTTGTGGTTGTTGTTGTTGTTTGACTTGCATCCCACTGGGATTTTTGCACACAGCGTTGGTGTATCGGTGTTTTTTCTGCAATATTTTTGCTGTCTTTTCTTGGATTTTCTGTTTGCACTTAGTCACATATTCACTTAAGATGTTTTTTGTTCATGTTTTAGTTTTTTGTTTGTTGCGGTTGCACCCGATTCAAGAGCTGAATGGCTCACAGGGCTATACCTAATAAATGAACTTGAACTTGAACTTAGTGGGTCACGGCGTTTATGTGCACCGAGGGTCGTAGTCGTCCAAAAATAAATTAACTAATTCGGATTTTGACTTCCGTTTATTCGGGACCCCTGGTTCCACCATGAGGTTCAATTTACTGCTATACATTACCACAAGGTAAGGCACTCTGTTGAACTATCATTTGTGGCCGGATCGCAGTGGAGAGCTATGCAGCTCAGTGGGCCTTACCTAGTACAAACAATATTTGAGTTAAAAAATATTAAGTTTTAGTTTATACCAAGTCATACATTTAAAAAAGCCTAAATTATAAAATAGGTAAGAGTCTATTAGATGCCTTTATCACAATATGCTCAGAATGATCCCATTCTAAGCAGTCACCGACAAACCACAAGCCCTTTGTCCACGAGGTGACACGGTTTCTGCGTAAACTCGCTCTGCATCCACCAATCCCTTCCAGGCAGTGAGTATAGCCTTAGGAGTAATTTCTGATGCATTATTTGGGTTTCATATATCATGGGTTGAAGACGAATTTGAGTTTCAACATTGTTCAATTAACCTTCGAATGTAAACACAGTTGCAAGATCTTCCTGCAATTGCACTACTTTGAGGCCCATTGAGACATTCTTTGGTAAAAGTAACAAGAACCCCACCCCCACCCCCAAAATAAAATGATGGTGACACATGAGTGTCGCAATAATGATGATGATGATTGTGATGATGGATGTTGATAATGGTAATGATGGCTGTTGATGACAATTGTGAGGATTATGATTGTTATGATGATGATTATTATTGTGATGATGATTGAGATGATGGTTTTTGTTGATGATTGTGAGGATTATGACGGTGATGGTGACGATTGTTGATGATGATGATTGTGATGATGATTGTGGTGATGATTATAATTGTGACGATGATTGTGATGATGATTATTGTTGTTGGTGACGTGATGATGACTGTTATGATGATTATTGTAATGATGATTGTGATGATGATTGTCCTGACGATTGTTCGCAGATCATCGCCCCGCCTGAGAGAAAGTACTCGGTGTGGATTGGCGGGTCAATCCTGGCTTCGCTCTCCACCTTCCAGCAAATGTGGATCAGCAAACCCGAGTACGATGAAGCTGGGCCCTCCATCGTGCACCGCAAGTGCTTCTAGCCTGGCGGCGCAGGGCCCCGCTCGCGACAGCAGCGGGCATTTAACGGCGGCCGTTGATGTGAACAGCCCGAATGAAATGACCGGCCGATAATATCGCCATATGGAAAGAAATGCAACGTTGTAATGTGTACTACGTTTACTGAAATACAGTAATTTCGGTTAAACCCAAAAAACTCACATTTAATGTACGATTTATCAGATATTGTCGATTTAACGTTCATTAATACTCGCATTTAAAAACAAAAATAGACTGTTGACGTTTCGCTTCTATTTTGTTTTTATTGTTACTGGTAAGGTGCACAGCAAGGCATTAACACTCGTTTGCATTCTTAGACATCACCTGCGGGTGGTGGGAGCGCTTAGCACGGCGCCTCTGGCGTGGGACTCGGTAGGCTCCCGACAAACAGGCCGATGTGTCCATGCTAATACCAAAACTATGGGCCGCGTTGTCAACCCGCTGGAGTGTTGCGCTCCTTCAACAGAGGAGGAGGAACAGCCAAACGATACACTCTCTCTCCAGAAGCTCTCTAACGGCTCGCAGAGCTCGTCATTAGCACTTAGCTCCTGCACATAATTTCCATCATGCACAAGAATAGAGCAGTGAGCTCCCTCCAGCCGTCTCTAGTTCTGCTCTCTAGCGATGTAAGCAAGTCGGTGATTTAACGTCTCTAACGTGACTATTGATGCCATCCAATGGGTGCAAGCAAATCGAATGCAATTTTGCAATACATTTGCAATCTGTAACTGGGCTAAGACTGTCAAGCCGTAGCATATTCTGCACGCAATAAAACCCATGACTTGAACGCGGGCTGCCAGTTATTACTTCGTTATCCGAATTAGACTTCTCAGCCGCCTAATGCTCATGCACAGAAGGTGATCAGTTTGAGCTTTAGGCATCACGACAGAGGAGTAAGGAGTGTACGCTAACAAGAAGGAGAATGGAGTGGGAATTCGATGGTTGAGCAGGATTACCTCGATTATTATGATTAATAAGTAGTTCAGTTTGGGTTAGATCGTGTAGGTATAGTGCCAATTTTCAACGACACCCTCCACCGCCCGACAGAGCCGATCAACAATGGCAATAGAAATTGATACGATAGCTACACGACACAACCCAAAATAAACCCAAGAGCGAATCCTAATGTTGGCCGTGAGAACCTGCACCGTGAAAACAATTCACCCGGGTCATCGTCTTACAATCTCGCAGGGGTGTCTCATATCACACCCCGCAAAGATGAACAATCATGAGCCAGGCGAGGCCGCATGCCAAGCAGGGTCACTGCGCGGGGCTGTCCTGAACAGTGGCATGTGGCCACCACCATCCCTTTTTTGGTGCGCCGCTGCAGCCATGAGTAATTGTTTTGTTACACACGGGGAAGGGACGTTGCAACGCCGCTGAAACGTCGCTCGCCTCAAGTTGTTCTCGAGCATGTTGTGGCACGACGGTATTGGAGGAAGAGAAAGCCGCGTTGCGCGCGATCGAACGCGACCGACGGCCAAGCGCTGCGGTGAATTGGGGAAGGCAGCGTTTATCTCCACTCGTTGACTCCCCACCCCCCCATTGACGAGGGAACCGTGTATAAGAAGAGGTCCTCACGGGGTCATGTGGATGATAGCCCCTGAAGCTGGTAGACCAGGTGGCTGAGTGGGGGCGGAGCGAGCGGCTCGGAATTGGAGGTTACGAGTTCGAATCCTCATTGGAGGTCGACTCAGTCTATCATCCCGCCAGGATACATAGAGGAAGGTTTGGCCATTCCATAGGAATGTGGAATTTCCACCCCGCTGGCTGCTCAGGGCTGTGAACGTGAGAGGAGCCACCGATGCTATCGAATACTCATTCGAGCGGGGAATCACTTTTGCTCTATTCACCGCTCTCAAGTGGGGGAACCCGCGTGCAAATCGACGCGTCACCTTCGCCCAGTGATGACAGTGACGACGACGTCTGCCCTAGGTAGTACAGCTGTAAGAGGGCTGGGGGGGGGGATGCTTGCAGTTTCATTTTCCGATGGGTTTTTTGTAATGCCGAGTAGTGGTGTGTGCTGCTGCACGGTGCTGACGATGCACACAGCCTTGACGGATTCCCTGGGACGCCACCGATTCTGGGGCAGGGAGACACTTGACGCCACGGTGGCTAGGAGATGTGAACAACCTCGCCTGGTATAAGGAGGCCGTGGGCTCGATCCCGACCCTGACGACGCCTGCTGCTGTGTATGTTGAGTTTGCATGTTCTCTCTCTCACCGTGGTCGCGTGGATTTTTGTCCGGGTCCTCCGGTTTTCCCCTCCACGTTTAGAAACACGAGTTGAGCGTATTTGGCTGTGATAAATGTCCACACGATAAGCCACCACTTCGTTGAGCTGTCATTTGTGATAGCCAGGTCGCTTCTGAAAGAGAGCTGTGTAGCTCAGCGGGCCTTACCTGGTAAAATATTTAAAAAACGAGTTTTAGAGTTCAGTGTTCACTGTGAAGCCATTCAAGCGTCGGAGTAAGCCGTCTTCCACGGAACCGCCTGCACGCCCTTTCATCTGAAACTAGAACACCACGAGGCCACCGCTGAAAACAGTCCCGTGCCTCCGTTATTTATACGCGGCGCAGCTATTGATTGAATTTCGTATTTTTATTTCTTTTAGGGACCGATTTTGGCAAACATCACGTTCGACATTTAACGCGTTGATTTCTTTCCATATTGATCATGAAAGCGAGATTAAATGTCCATTTTGTTTACCATATGTCATTGCCTATACCTATACCGTCTTTGTTTTGCTCATGTAAACTTGCACGCTTCTAGGATGTAGGGGTTTTATCCGCATTCTTGCAATATGCTTCTGATCATTCCTGCACAGTGTCTGGAAATTGTCCCGGATTTTTAATTCGCGTAACGCTGTTGAAAAAAAGCCCCTTCGGGCAGTGACGTTGCAGCTGTGGGTCTGTGTTTCTCCCCCCGGGGCATGCCGTGATTTGTGCCGTGACATTACAAGTCCGGTGGGAAAAAAATGTTCACCGTTATTTAGAAGCACTTCGTGACACACAAAAAGACAAAAATCTCCCCACTATGGCCTTAACAGACTGTCGGAGCAAGTGCTGTTAGCGAGGAGCACTTGTGCAGGCCGAGACGGCACACGAGGGGGTGGGTGGCCAGCACCACGCCCGGCCGCCTTCGTCTCCCCGGTGGCGATGTTTTTATACGCCGAATCAGGTACACCGTTTGAGGCTGAGCCGACCTAGGAGAGGCCCACGATCGGTTCAGATGAATCGCCACCGGTGTTGGTGACCGTGAGCGGGAATCGAACCCGGGTGGCCGGGGTTCGTAGCGCAGCGTAGCGCTGACCGCTGCACTGGCAGCAGGCCGCACACCAAATGTCAGATGAGCCAAACTCAACGGCGTGAGTTGGAAGTGGCACCCAGTCTCCGTGTTCCCGACTACGGCGCTTCAGCCTTTCCATGTTGACACTTTACTGTGTGTGTGTGTATTGTCTTGTTTACATTAAAATGGATAACACTTGTAAACATGTAGAGCTGGACATTCTGGGAACTCCAACAAACCGGAGTTTCAGAAACCCGTGGCCAATCTGTAAGGGATGGGCATTTAGTCTGCGTGAGTTTGCGATGGAAACAACACCTTCATGCGTAGTCGAACCAACATTTGCCCAAGATAATTTTACTCGTGAATCACGTCACCGCGAGAGGCAATTAAAAATATGATTATTCCCAGTAGCCGCAACCTCCGAGGTGTCCCAGATGAAGATGGGTGGAAAGAATAAAACTTCATTTTGGCTACAATAGTGTGCACATTGTACATTTTTTGCTCTTTGGTGGCTTGAAGTGGTAGGCCGTCATGAATGAGTTGCATACCTCCGGCTGAGGCTGAGCCGACCTAGGGGAGGCCCATGACCAGTTCAGATGAATCGCCACCAGTGTTGGTGACCGTGAGCGGGAATCGAATCGTCGAGGATGGGGCGTGGGGGAGGGTGGAAGGGGGCACATTTGCGAGCTCAAAATCAACACAAGTGAGAGGGGGGTCACTACTCTTTGGTTCTTTCAGTAAAGTCACGTAGGTATAAGATAAAATTAAATTAAATCACGACGTTTCGGGCGCAACACAAGCGTCCGTCATTAGGTGGGACAACCACAGCAAGAAACAATTGCTGAAGTGGGCAAAAGGGCTGCTGCAACAAGAGGCTATATAGGTAAGAGAGGAGCAAGGGGGGGAGAGATAGAGAGGGGGGGTAGGGGGAGGGGAGTGCTGCGAAAACGTTTAGAGGACGAGCAGACAGAATGCGGGGGGGGGGGGGGGGAGTGGGCGGGGCTGGGAGTGGGGAGCTGAAGCAACAGGAGATGCGGAAATGAAGGCAACACCATACAGCAATTAAGGTCACTATTCACAAAAAAAACAACACAATGGCTCAGAAAAGTCATAAATGGCCCTAGTCCACTTGCTGTGGAATTCCACTTTTGGTACAAAACGAGCTGAGGTCTCCCTCGCCGACAAACGGGCGAGGCCTCTTCTTTTGTGAAGATGGCGGGTCAGCTCCTTGAGCCGGACACTCAGTGCCTGTGGCTCACCACGGTGCCACACGCGCACACTCTCTGTGTGTGTCTGTGTGCGGCACCCTGTTCCTTGCAGTGGTGCGTGCAGGTGTCCACTGTTGCTTCAAGCACGCGTGCGTAGGCATGGCCGTGTACGCTTGTGCAAGTACGCACGTTGAACTTTCGCACCGTACGCACAGTAGCCAGGAGCGCCTCGCAGCAATCGGAAGGCCACAAAGTTCACTCGGTCCATCATCATCCCTCTGGGATCGATCAAAATGAGGATGACTTTGTGGGGGCATAACACAAGTTTTTGGCGTTAGATCGCGTAAATATATAATTGTGTCGTTAAACCCAGAATAAAAGTATCCTCCTGTTGCACACTCGAAATGAAGGACGTGGGCAGGTGCTCCAAATCGAGGGCAAGCACATTTATTTATTGTGGTTATTATTAATCTTGGGAAGAACAGCACCGTCACTCTGTAAAATGCAACAACACGTGTGTTACAACCAGCCTTGCGCCCGAGTCGCCATTAACCATGTGACTGGTATATCCGCGTGGTCATTCAATAACCCTTTCCCTTAAACCCAATTCTACTACTGATAAACCATCTTTGTCTTTGACAATCACATTTGCACACCACTATTCGACTATTACTTTAATCCTAAGCTGTACGTATATCTATACTATCCACTTATATCCGTATCTTACACCCATTATATGTACTGTATGTGTACAGTATACGTACTGTATATCACTATTGTACAGCTTACTACTTTACATGTGTTCTATTCTCAATAGCATTGCAAGTAGTCATACTCTGGGTACATGGGCATGGTTATAGACTAAACAGTATTAGAGTTAGAGAATTACAATGACAGTAACTAATTACAGTGCGTCATCCCTTTACAATGCACAGTGCTAAAACGCCTCTAATTGCATATATCACAAACGAACAATTCAAAGCCAAGCTTAAAGTCTAGAACAAGTCTAGAACAAGTCTAGAACATTTATATAACGATCAAAAATGTTTGGGTCCTTTACCTGTAAAATGCAACAACACGTGTGTTACAACCAGCCTTGCTCCCGAGCCGCCATTAACCATGTGACTGGTATATCCGCGTGGTCATTCAATAACCCTGCCAGCCACCTACAGGCCCGACTCAGTCATCACATGCTGCTGTACACACATGCGTTGATGCACTGCACAGCACATCAGGACTTTCACAGAACCACACTTTACTCCCTTGCTGCACAAGGACATACTTAAAAGAGTGATTCATTCCTAATGTGCCACACTCCCCATATAGAGGTTAGTCAATCTTGATTTGAAGCTTTCGTGACTGCAGGATAACATAGGTAGAAATAAAATAAATCACGACGTTTCGGGCGCAACACAAGCGTCCGTCATCAGGTTAGATCGCGCAAATATATAATTGCGTCGTGAAATGTGTCCTCAAGAGAGACTGGCCACTGCATTGGGAATGTGGAATGTCCACCACTCTGCAGGCCCGTAAACGGGAGGTGAGCACCAATATCTCGCTGCTCATTGGGATCAGCAGAAAATCGCTTTGCAAAGAATGATGAGGGGTCATACTCTGCTGGAGGAGCATCCGTGCATGCTGATAACTACTGCGATGTGTGCAGGAAGGCATGCCACGTGTACCGTATAGAGACGCCTACGTCCACGATAAAGGTGTTTTTGGGTTAGATCGCGTAAGTAGACATGTGTCGTAAAACCCACCACCACCCGACACAGCCAATGAGTAAGGTCTGTCACGTAAATAAAACGTGCCAATTCGTTATTCCTCCAGTACACCGATTGTGTGCTGGAGAGTAAAAACCCACGACATTTGCAATCCTGCGTGTTAAAGAGACACCTCCAGCACGTGGGCGCACGTGCGGGTCGAGGATGTGCACACGTCACGGCTAGAAACACGCGCAGTAACCGTCGAGTAAGAGTAACTTGAATGTACGCATTACGTTGAATTTATTTCGCACCATACGTAGCCAACCGTGCTAATTGGAGGTGCGGTGGAAGTACAACAAACTAAGCACAACAAGCAGTTCTAAACAAATCAGTTTTGAATTTAGCATAGTGGTGTAGTGTATAATATTGTAGTGTGTAGTGTAGTGTACAGTAGTGTGTATGTATGTAGAACTTCTTTGGCACTGTACGTAGCCAACCGTGCTTTTTGGGGAAGGGAAGGGGGGGGGAGCACCGCTCGAACACTCGCGCAGCGCAAAACAGCAGCGCTCGTCCCCTCTGCTGCAGAGCGTCACTCTTCCCCCTGGCCCAGCAACGCCATGCAAAGATTGTAGACCCACAGTGGAACGCCGCCGTGAGGACGGTGGTGTCGGGGGACGCTGAAGTCCACTCCAACCGGGAGGGTCCCGGCGCTGTCCCCACGCCGTCTCACCCGCCACCCACAGGGACACCACCGCGCTACGCGAGAGGAAAAACAAAAGCAACTCCGACCTCCGATCCACGCGGACCCTGAACAATCCCACTGCGGGCGCGCTCACGGTCACGCCGGCTGTTCTGGGTAACAGCGGTGGATACCCACAGCACCTGGCACCACCAGCCCATTGTCCAGCTGGGCGGAATTGTGGGATACATGTAATGTTAAGGACCAACCCATTTTTCAGCAATACGGAATTGTGGGATGCATGCAAAGTCAAGGCCGAACACCACCGAGCCACTCAATCAACAACAAATTCACCACTCCCTGAACTAGCGCCCTGTAACAGAGAGACATTAATGACAGGGTGACGTGTCATGCGGCAATAGGCTCTTCTGTAGCGCATAAGAAACAGGGCCTATTCCTGAAATGTGACTTTCTTGTTACATCACTTCGGACACAACGCGCCCCCTTGCTATACCTGTCGCTCCGTGTCATCCCATCTGCGTATTGATTTTAATCTCTCACATCGAGCAGTGCACCAACCACCGTGGCAGAAAGGCCACAAATAAAACATACACGTTACACATGCGAAGGTCGCTTTAATCAGTTGCTTTATTCACACCCGAGCCACACCGAGAGTTGCCACCTCTGGGGGTAGCGAAGAAGACCAGGATGTGTCTTGGGAAGAAGTCTATCTCACAATATCTGGGGAAAACCAGGACAGATGGCAACTCTATAGCCACACTGCTTTTAATGACCAGTGAAACATTTCCACGCCACGTCAAATAAAAATCAACGTTTTTATAATTGTCATTATTAGACTTCAGCATAATTAAGTAAAGAGAAGAGCGATTTAAAATCATCCCTTTACCTTTCAATCGTCATGTCACGAGACGGAACATTTTCAGTCGGGAACTCTGCAAGCGAGCGGTGCGTCACCCTGTGCCGAAAAATCGGCCCCGGAAGATGCTACGGAACTTTGGCTGAGGTCACTTCAGTCTAAAACCTTTTGCCCAGCAAAGAGTGCGGTGTTTTGTCGCGTGTCAAACAGATTTTTATTGAAGTCTTGGTACTGGGCTAAGCGAAAGTTAAGTGTGGAAGGAGAAATCACATAAAACTATTCTGATATTTGCCTCAGCGGACCTCTCTATCCACAAGTGTGTGTGTGGGAGGGTGGTGGCATGGCACCAGCGGTCTCAAGGTCGGCCTCTATGGAGAAGGCTCGTGAAGAACACTACTGGTCAGTTGGAGAGAGTCGCCCTCCAGCAACAATGGAGGGCAGTAGAGCCGCTCGCAACAAGCGAAGCACCAGGTGGCTAAAATACAGCAAGTTGGCACAGTAAGGGGTACAAGCTGGTGGTGCATCTACCGGTCATCTCAGTCAACCCATGGCACCTGGGGTCTGTCTCTGACCTGTCAGCGGCCTTCGACACTTGACGTGGCCTCAAAGTGCACCAAGCCTGGCACAGACGCCGTGGTGACGTCTTCATCACTTCGTGGCGAATGGCGGGTATTGGTATTGGTGACGTGGTATTTCACACATGACACTACGGACCGAGTGACTTGATTTTGGTTCCCACCCTCGGCCAACGTCAGTGCTGAAAATCTGAACCAGCACTGTGGCTCCCCTTGTTTGACCTAGCACTGAATGAGTACTAGGTGCGGTGTATAAAACATCAGCAATGGGAGGATGATGACAGCCAGGCTTACTAACAGCACTTGCTCCAGCATGAAAAATAAGAATAGGTTTAACCCTTTCTGGCAATAAAACAGGCATGAAGACGTTCAAACACCAAATAAATACATTTTTATACTTTGATCCTGGCAAAAAAAACGTTTCCCATGATATAGCTGCTCAACCTGAGCTATAATTGGTCTGTTACTTGTGTAGGGGTGTTAAAGAGAGGGCCCGTTATGCATGGCAGCCTATGGAAAACAAACACAGTGGGCGGGGCTACGTAAGTGCACGAGCAAGTGCTCTCTACGACGTCCGAGCCAGACACCCTGGGGGGGGCTGGTTCGAACGTTATGATCCCCCGGGGCCCCACCCCTCAGGGAGGGGTTGGGTATAAAAGGGGATGTTTCAAAGGGCTCGGCAGTTATGTTTAAGCTAAGGGAAGAAGATTGAAGACGTCTTAGATAGAGCCCTGGACTCCCCTGGTTCGATGTCCTTTTCAGGGCCGGACAGGATTGAGCCAGCGGCGTGGTCCCGGAAGCCAGAGCCGGTGCTCTTGTAAGAGCTGGTCTGGAACTCCGGGTACCGGGCCCGACTTACCAGTGTCGGGCCAGTTAGCCTCCCCTAGCCCATTAGTGGAGGATTCGGGGCTAGGACAGAGTTAGCTAGGGGTGTATCCCGAGTTATACGGGTGAGGGGGCCGATACCCCCTCGAGAGTGTATATGCCCACTGTCATACTGTGAAATAAATATACGTGTGCCTCAACCTCGGCGTCAAGCGTCTTCACCGGTACTTCAACTGGTGTCAGAAGTAATTCGAACATGGACACGCAGAAAACAGCGCGGGCCAAAGTACCGCAGGAGGAAGACACTGCCGAGATCGTCGAGCCCGAGACGGCTCCACAGGACAAGGTGCAGCCGGGGCCTGACGCCTCCTTACCGGGGCATCGAAATGAAGAGGGGCCGCAGCCAGACGCGTTACGGCTGGCTCACGGGAGGCTGGCGGAGCTGCTGTATGCCGCTGCCGCCACGCTGGAGACCATCACGCGACTAGGGGCCGGTGATCCAACACGGGGCGAGGCGAGCCAACGACCAGGGCGCCTTCCCGCCATTTCGGAGCAGTCCGAATTTGAAATTCCCGCCATCGACGCTACAGCTGTTCGGGGCGTGGCCAGCCTAGACATCCGCTCCGACATCGCCGTCGCTGAAGCTGCAACGTCATCACAAGCGCGACAGGCGATCCCATCGGCCGTTCGCACCGACGCACAGCCGAGTGGTGGTGACATCAGCCTGCGGGAGTCCACAACGACCGCTGCGCTTCATCAGAGACTGCCCCCGCTGAAGGAGTTCATCGGCGCGGAGGGGGACTGGGCCGGTTTTCGCCGACGTTTCCTCGCCCATCAGGAGATGGCGAAATGGTCCGATGAGGAGGCTCTCTGCGCGCTGCCGGCGCTCCTCGACGGCGACGCGCTCGCCGCCCTCACATCGGCGCCGAGAGAGAAGCGGTCTACGTTACCGATGGCACTACAGCTGCTGGGCGGGGTCTATGGACCATCGGCTGAATGCCGACAGCAATTTTACGACCGCAAGCGGGGTGAGAAGGAGTCGCCCCTAGCATATCGGACGAGCCTCCTGGCGATGGCTAAGTCGGCCTTCCCTCGTATGGACGACGACGGCGTGGACGCGATGGTCACGGAGAAGATCCTCCTCCTGGCAGATGACCTTGACATCGCGGTCGTCGCCCGGGAGGACGAGGAGATGACATCGCTCCAGGCGGCGCGGCTCCTCCACGCCAACCTCCTGTCACTGCGGCGGAAAGCCAGCAGGGCATCGGCGGGGCGTGCGGTGGCTGCAGCCACCATTCCGACGGAGGAGCTCTACGCCGTCGACCACCGACCGCAACAGGCGACAGGAGCACGGTCGGGCCAGGACGCGCCGGGCCGTTTCAACCGTCCGTCTCCTCCAACGGCGCTCCCGCGGTGTTTCAACTGCGGCGTCCGGGGCCACGTCGCCTCGGGGTGCCGCGCTCCTCGACAGCGCGGGACGACACCTCAACGGGACGACGGGCCTCATCACAAGCTCCACCATCATAACCCGGCGAGTCGCGGCACCCCACATGTTTGGCCCACGCACACACCCGTCACGCACTCAAACACCGCAACGAGAGGGGGGCCGATATCGCGCACCATCGCACCATCACGCACCACCCCGGGTACTTATATCGAACCCGGCCAGTGGTCCGTGCTGGCCGATCGTATGGTAGCCGCATCGTCGGGGTCGTCGGCCGTTGTGGGGCACATCGACGGGGTTGAAGTGCGCATCCTGGTCGATACGGGAGCATCGGCGACCATTATTTCGGAGTTGATTTACAATATTCTCCCTGTCCGGAGTCGTCCTTTGATGCCTGTTAACGTACCATTCTATGCGGCTAACGGGGGCTCACTTGGCATCATCGGACAAATTCGTGCCCAAATTTGTATTGGGGAAATTAAATTGTCTGGGCCGATTTTTGTTTCCTCCTCGCTGGCGGTTCCGTGCCTGCTGGGGACGGACTTCCTGGCCAAAATGCCGATTAGGATATTGATCGACCAGGGATGTATTGAGCTCCCGTCGGGCAGACGCATGGCGTTTCTGCCATCGCCTGTTACGACTCGGACGGCGTTCGCGACGGTGCCGGCATTCGTAGAGAGAACGGTGCGCGTCCCTCCGGGGGCGCAAATGTTGATTCCCTTGAAACTTCGGCGGCCCTTCGCTAAGGGTGTTGGGGCCCAAGGGGTTCTGCTGGGGCCGTCTAGGGCCGGGGTTAGTGGACCTCATTTACTTCCGGCCCAGACCATAGTAAGAGGGGACGGTGAACCCTTCATCGCGGTCCTCAATGTGGGCTCGCAGACGGTGGTGGTCCCACAGGGGACCGTGCTTGCTCACGCAACGCCGGTGCCATGTGAGGAACCCGTCGCAAATCACGTCAGCGTTGTCCCTGCGCCGCGACCGCATTCGGACAGCGATGAAGGGTGGCTCGAGGCGCTTTGTGCGGGATCGACGGACCTGTCAGATTCAGAGCGTCAACAACTTAAAACACTACTGCGGGAATTTTCCGACGTTTTTAGTCGGAATAAATACGATTTGGGTTGTACTCACCTGCTGCGTCACCATATTGACACGGGTGACAGCGCGCCAATTCGCCAAAATCCGTTTCGGTTGAGTCCCGCCGAAAAGGACCATGTCAAATCGGCTGTTGATGACATGTTGGCCGCCGACATCATTTCTCCTTCCACCAGCCCTTGGGGAGCGCCGATCGTCCTGGTTAAAAAGCAGGACGGTTCGTTGCGGTTTTGCGTTGATTTCCGGCGTCTTAACAAAATTTCGGTTGCCGACGCATACCCGCTCCCTCGGATGGATGAATCGCTGGACGCCTTGGCGGGAGCGCGATTCTTTTCCACACTGGATTTACTTTCGGGATTCTGGCAGCTTCCTCTGGACGATGATTCAAAGCCTAAAACTGCTTTCCGTACACCGCATGGCCTGTTCCAATTCAACCGGTTGCCGATGGGCTTACACTCAGCGCCGGCAACTTTCCAGCGTTTGATGGAATTGGTTTTGGCTGGATTGCAATGGGAGTCGTGCCTCATTTATTTGGATGACGTTATCGTCTTTAGTAAAACTTTTGACGAACATCTCCAGAGGTTGCGGGCGGTTTTCCTAAAGATGCGGGCTGCTAATTTGAAATTCAAGCCCCAAAAATGCCATTTGTTGCGCGATTCGGTGCGTTATTTGGGGCACATCGTGGGACGCTCAGGTATTGCTACCGATCCCGCCAAAACGCAGTGTGTCAGCTCCTGGCCGACTCCCACCTCGGTGGGAGAGGTCAGGAGTTTCATTGGGTTCGCGTCGTATTACCGACGGTTCGTCGCTGATTTTGCGACATTTGCAAAACCCCTGCACGCTTTAACATCTAAAGGGGTTCGGTTCCACTGGGGTCAAGAGGAGGAGGCTGCTTTCTGCTCCCTTCGGGACGCCCTGGTAAAAGCCCCTCCCATGATTTACCCAGATTTTTCTAAGCCCTTTTTGCTCGACACCGATGCGAGCAACACGGGTATTGGGGGTGTGCTTTCCCAGGTGGTTGATGGCGTGGAACGGGTGGTCGCGTACGGTAGTCGGGTGTTGTCTCCTGCGGAGCAAAGATATTGTGTCACCCGTAGGGAACTGTTGGCAATTGTCTATTTCATCCAACAGTATCGCCCATATCTGTACGGTCGGCATTTCACCGTCCGCACAGATCATGCGGCACTACAGTATGCCCTGCGAGTTCAACAACCATCGGGACAGTTGTCTCGATGGTTGGAGGTTCTCCAGGACTTTGATTTTGAAACCACCTACCGTAAGGGCGTTCGCCATACGAATGCGGACGCTCTGTCGCGCATGCCAACCACCTCCGAATGTGCATGCCTCCTGGGGTCGGGACGTTGCAGGCCTTCAGGGGACGCATCGGTTCCGATCTTAGCAGCCACCGACGACGACGAACCATTGGTTACTAATTCGATCGAACAACAGGGAAGAGATTCCCTGTTGGGGTTGCCCGTCACTGAATGGGGGCGCCTCCAAATGGAGGATACCTCCCTCCTCGGGTGGCGTCGTCGCGTCGGGGGTGCTGGGCGGGTGAAGGGTGATTCGGATGCATGGGAAATGGTGCAAGGTCTGCTGATGCATTGGGACGGCAAATCCCAGCGACATCGGCTGGTGGTCCCTTCTGAGTTGCGAGGCAAGGTGGTGTGGGCCGCGCATGAGCGCCTATTACACCTGGGGACCCAAAAGACTCTTGCACTGCTACAACTTGATTTTTTTTGGCCTGGTATGACGAGGGATGTTGGGGATCTATTGGGATCATGCCCTCGGTGTGCGCAACGGAAACCGCCGGCGCGGGAGTCTAACCCGCCCTTGCAATCGATCAAAGTGTCCAGAATAAATGAGCTTGTCGCGCTGGACATTTTGGGCCCATTTCCCGCCACCCCCAGGGGCAATAGGTATTTGTTGACAGGTGTCGAGTATTTTACGCGCTGGCCTATGGCCTGGCCCCTTGCCAACCAGTCGGCAGCAGCCATCGTGGAGGCCTTTGTTCAGGGATATGTCCTGGACAAAGGTGCTCCGGAGCGGCTGCTGACCGACCAGGGCAGAAATTTTTCCGGTAAATTACTCAAACAAGTCTGTGACCTCTTAGGCACGAAGAAAATTCGTACCTCCCCGTATCACCCGCAAACTGACGGAATGGTCGAGCGCCTGCATCGCACCATTACGTCAATGATGTCACAGCAGGTCTCGGACTCGCAGACTGACTGGGACCTGCATATTCAAGGGGTCTTGGCGGCATACCGGATGGCACCCCATGCAGCTACGGGATTTTCCCCCTTTTACCTCATGTACGGTCGCGAACCCGACCCGCCTGTTCGCGCCCAGCTGCAGATCCCCGACCCGCAAGGGAAAACTAAATTGGCTGACCACGTCAAATTTAATCTGGCCAAATTAACAGAGGCGCGGGATGCTGCTATGCTAAACTCGGACCTCCGTCAAAAAGCGAATGAGCGCCTCAGGCTGGGTCGGGCGCACGTGATACAGTGGAAGCCGGGGGACAAGGCATGGTTGCACTGTCCCCAAGTGCCTCTGGCTACCTCCCCTAAGCTGGCGCGGCCGTGGCGGGGCCCTGTGGAGGTGGTCGAAGTTTTGCGACCACAGTGCGTGCGCATTAAATGGGGGAAGCGGCGATGGTTCGTGCACCCCTCTAGGTTAAAACCCCTCGTTGCGGTACACAAACCCACTTCACACATGCGTGGCCAAACGTGTGGGGGGTCGACCGACTCACTGGGTCCGTCTCCGTCGTTCTCACCTAATGCCTTGCCGGCCGTGCCACCTCCAGGTGCATCAGGACTGACGGGCTCACGCCCGACCACCCCTCCTGGGGATACCGACGGTCGCGCGGCATCGGATGAGGTCTCACTCCGGGACGGACAATTGCCACCTTACGGTCCGCCACCCGGGGTTACCCTGTGTGAGGTGCCCGCTGCAAGGACGCGCGCAAAAATGCGCAGACTGTTATGAGGCCAGAAGATGTGTACATAGGTTGTGTTCATCGTGTGTTGTGTGGGTGGTGTGTTCCCTGCCCATTGAAATGTACATACGTTGGGTTCACCTGGTGTTGTGTGTATGGTGGGTTCCCTGCAAATTGTATATAGGTTGTTTTTTTTACGGAATTCGTATTTATTCAAGGGGGGGTGCGTCGGGTTGTTTTCTCTTCTTGCTGTTGCATTTTGTTGTGTTCTTGTTGCTGTTCTTGTTATTGTTGAAAAATAGTGAGGCACACGTGCGGTCAAGGGGTAAATGCACTTTTATTGTCATTTTTGTATGTTGGCAGCCGGGACGGCTGCAAGCTATGCGGGGGGGGGGGGGGGGTGATGTAGGGGTGTTAAAGAGAGGGCCCGTTATGCATGGCAGCCTATGGAAAACAAACACAGTGGGCGGGGCTACGTAAGTGCACGAGCAAGTGCTCTCTACGACGTCCGAGCCAGACACCCTGGGGGGGGCTGGTTCGAACGTTATGATCCCCCGGGGCCCCACCCCTCAGGGAGGGGTTGGGTATAAAAGGGGATGTTTCAAAGGGCTCGGCAGTTATGTTTAAGCTAAGGGAAGAAGATTGAAGACGTCTTAGATAGAGCCCTGGACTCCCCTGGTTCGATGTCCTTTTCAGGGCCGGACAGGATTGAGCCAGCGGCGTGGTCCCGGAAGCCAGAGCCGGTGCTCTTGTAAGAGCTGGTCTGGAACTCCGGGTACCGGGCCCGACTTACCAGTGTCGGGCCAGTTAGCCTCCCCTAGCCCATTAGTGGAGGATTCGGGGCTAGGACAGAGTTAGCTAGGGGTGTATCCCGAGTTATACGGGTGAGGGGGCCGATACCCCCTCGAGAGTGTATATGCCCACTGTCATACTGTGAAATAAATATACGTGTGCCTCAACCTCGGCGTCAAGCGTCTTCACCGGTACTTCACTTGCATTGTATATGTGCTGTTCGCCTTTTGGCATTCTCTGGTCTGACACTGGTGGGCCTAGGCCATAAAGAAGCCTGTCTCTGGTGTAGGCCAATCAGTTTCAAAGGAAATGCCATATATGAACCTTATGGTGGTAACCCGGGTTACCATAGTACCCCTGCTCTCGCATAATGTCCGTGATGCAGTAATTTTTAGTCTGTTGATGGTCGGCGATGCGGTAATCGACTCATCTCGACGAGCTGTACACGATGCACTATTCAAAGTAGAATTTTTTGATAACGGATTTTTTATGCTGTTTGGCGTTTCGACATCGCGGAGTGGCACTGATTTCGGATTGATTGGTACCCCAGTGGCGGAGTTAAGTAGACCCCTGGAAAAAATAGTGTCCCAGAAATAAAATATTTAATTGCCTCGGCCATTTTGTATTATTTTGTACCCCGGGGTACCGCCATAAGGATAATATTACCAGAGCATGTTTGTTTGCATGTTTGTCACAAGTACCTGTGGTTCATGCAAACTTGATTCCTGGCAAACGGTATCTATTTGGTGTTTGAACATCTTAACACAACTGCTGTTTTATTGCCAAAAAGGATAAAACCTATTCTTGTTTTTCATACTTTCATACTGGCAACAAAAGTCCTGCAGATATTTCACTCGCTTTTCAACAATTCCTCCGGTTTTGCTGAAAAACTCAATTACCAAAAAGGTCCCATGATAAAGCACTTACTGCCCCATGCATCAACATAGGCCGCACGGGGCGTCTTTCTCCTCGCACGTGTGTGTGCGTGGGTGGAGTGTCGGTGTAACGGGCCGCATGCTGTGCTGCAAAACTCAGAAGCCTGGGTTCGATTCCCGGCAAACTGCGAGCATGAGTGACGTCCGAACTGGTTGGCGGCGCTCACGTGAACGCCACGAGGGCGAGCGGCACAGCCAGAAGGGCCGGCACAAGTGACGGCCGGGCCCCTGCGTTTGGCGGCGGCTCCCTTGGGACGCAGGGCGGCGCTTCGGGATCCTTGGGGATCTTGGGAACGTGCTGGGCCGGAAAGGCACTGGAGCTGTGCTGTAGGGTTTGTGGGAGAGGGTTCAGAGAGAGACAAAGAGGGGGTGGGTGGGGGGAGAAGGCGGTGCGTTTGTTTTGATGGGGACGAGCGAGCTGAGTAACGATGGCTGTTCGGTCAGTCACTCATTCGTTCCTTCCCCCCCCCACCTCCCTTGCCTCACCTCTCCCACGTGGATCGCGAGATGCTCCATGTCTCGGGCGGCCGCCTCCGCGCCGCGCACCGTGGATTCGGTCCAGTTGACTCGGTCGTAGAGCAGGAAGACAGGGACACCCTGTGCCTCCGGGGGGCTGAGCACCATGTACGGGAACTCGCTGCACCAAGGCGGAGGGGCGGGGGAGACGGATGACGCAGTGTGAACCAGAGCCGGCGTGACTCCTCATCGAAACTATAAAACCATTTTTTATTTTTACCAGGTAAGGCCCACTGAGCTACTATGTAGCTCAACGAAGTGAGTGGCTCGTCATCGTGTGGGAATTTATAGCAGCAGCCAAATATTCTGAACGCACGTTGAAAAAACGGAGGACCCGGAGAAAAATCCCCACGGCCACGGAGAGGGACATGCAAACTCCAAATATACAGGCGTCAGGGTTGCGATCGAACCCACGACCTCTTGTGTACCAGGCGAGGGAGTTAACATCTCCTAGCCACCGTGGCGCCCCTCAGTAATAGCCGAGACGAAGCGTCGGCTGGCGAGCCCCGTTCATGCTGCTGCTGGGTTGACAGCGGCGAATTTGAGAAACTTTCCGAATCATATCGGCCGTGAAGGTCCACGCGCTGGTTTAAACATTCACTCGCTTCGGTGAACGAAGCCGGCGGAAACGCCGTCCCAGCTCAAGTCGATCATTCACGAGATATCCCTCCGACCGGCGGTGTGCGACGGAGAGGGGTGCGATGTGGTGGCGGTGGCGGTGTGGTGATGGCGGTGCGGTGGTGGTAGTGGTGGCGGTTTGGTGGTGGTGGTGGCGGTGTGGTGGTGGTGTGGTGGTGGTGGTGGCGGTATGTTGGTGGTGGTGGTGGCGGTGTGGTGGTGGTGGTGGCTGTGTGGTGGTGGCAGTGTGGTGGTGGTGGCGGTGTGGTGGTGGTGGCGGTGTGGTGGTGGTGTGGTGGCGGTGTAGTGGCGGTGTGGTGGTGGCGGTGTGGTGGTGGCGGTGTGGTGGTGGTGGTGGCGGTGTGGTGGTGGTGGCGGTGTGGTGGTGGTGGCAGGTGTGGTGGTGGTGGCGGTGTGGTGGTGGTGTGGTGGCGGTGTGGTGGTGGCGGTGTGGTGGTGGCGGTGTGGTGGTGGCGGTGTGGTGGTGGCGGCGGTGCGGTGGTGGTGGTGTGGTGGTGGCGGTGTGGTGGCGGTGTGGTGGTGGTGGTGGCAGTGGACAGGACGGGCATCTCACGGGGTCACGGTGAATCCCAGCGAGGGGGCCACGGCGGCCATGTCGTAGAGGCTGAGGCACCGGGAGACGTTCACCCGTGGGTAGTAGTAGATGAAGGCGATGCACATCTCGTCCTGCGTGGAGAGGCCACCCTGTGGGGAGGAGGCAACGCGAGAGGGAGAGAGAGAGGGGGCCGAGACGATCACAGAGGGAGACGTCGTCGTCATCGTCGCCGCCGAATCTGTCGATGCCACGACGCTTTCCACTCCTTTGTTGTCCTTCTCCCGGCACCTCCGATTAGCGCGGTTGGCTACACTACGACGGTGCGGAAGAAGTTCAACGTACACCCCACACGTACCATCTCCCACAATGTAACAATCCACCCGTTACCCGGTCTGTACGCATTACGGGGGAGTGCTGGCGCTAGCGGTTAGCGTAACTTGTGCTGTGAACCCCTTTGCTGACCCCAGTTTTGATTCCTGACCGCAGCAGCGAACACGGGTGGCGATTGACACCTCAATCCAAGACCGTAGCCATGGAGTCAACATTGGGGGGGACCACATCTTCCAGGGTGTCTGGGGGTCCCAACCCAGAAAAATAACTAAATTTGAAAACTCATTTCCTGCCTAAAATATAAAAAAGTCACTAACACATGGGATGGACTTTTTATTTTTTTTACAATAATGTCTAATAGTGTATTGCATTACATTGCTCTGTTTTAACTTTTGTACCATTTGTTGTTTCATTGTATGTAATGGCAGAGATTAGGGATTAATTAAGAACCATAACCACAATCATATAAACAGCAATCTATGCATTGATTTATATGAAGACAAGTCCAGATATTATGGCCAAGGTTTATAAAATTGTTTTTATTTACATAGCATTTTGAGCATATTTGAATATTGGGGGGATGTGCCCCCCCCCAATTTATATTACAATTACGGACTTGCCTCAAGCACACCCTGGCCCCGACAGTCGCCTGCCGACTCCTCATTGGTCTTCGCCAATTGGGCGACCGGACGCGTGGAGGCCACTCCGACGTCTTGCCTCGGCAATCGGCAACCTCGTCCGTTGTGAGCGCAACACCCCACCCGGTGCCGACCGTTCTTCCCTCGTCACGTCCACGCCGCTCACCTGCTGCATTTCTCTTCTGGACTCCAGCACTGCCCGTACCCTGTTCTGCTACTGAATTCCTTGCATCCGTCTCAGACACCCAAACTAAACTATTAAATGTGTACCAGGTAAGGCCCACTGAGCTATATGGCTCTAAACACACGTTGATTCTAAATATGGAGGGAAAAGCCGGAGGACCCGGAGATAAATCCACGCGACCATAGAGACATGGAAACTCCAAATATGCAGGTATCAGGGTCGGGATCGTACCCACGACCTCCTGTATACCAGGCGAGGTAGTTAACATCTCCTAGCCAACGCAGTGCCCAAAGGCGAGCAACAACCTGTTCTCAAAATGCCAGCAACGTCCATATGGTCAGGATCCAGTTGTCTGATCCGTACCAGAACAGAGGGCACTCTCGCCTTCAAAAACCCTTTTTCCACCCGGACTCGTCTCACGTCTCGTCCAACGTGGCTTCCACAGCCCATCGCTAACCTGCCCCGCTCAAGCTATGCACCCCCCTTGAGCGTGCCAACCATGCTGCTTAGCACGGTTGTCTACGTCCTGTGCGAAAAAATCCCAACATACGTACGTATTGTGGAAATCACTGCAGTGGTGGAAGGCAGTGGGAAATTAAGGTCATCCCCGTCATCATCATCATGTCGTTGTGATGTACTCCTAAGCGCCCACGTTATTTTTGCTGCCCGCCTTCAGCAACCCGCACTGATCAGCACTGGTGAAGTATGGTCAAACAACTCACATGACTGGACATTGACATGCAGAGGCATTAATCCAGCAGTGACATTGACTAAATGCTGTATTATTTGTTAATAGTACTCTTATTCCTGACGTTGTTGTTGCTGTTGGTGAGATTTGTGGTCAGAGAGGAGGAGACGGTGGTGGTGGTGAGAGCACGCACCGTGGTGGTGTGTGAGCGGCTCGTGCTTCTGTAGGTGCACTCCGTGACAAGTTCATCGCCCTGCCAACACACACATGCACAACACACACGCACAGCACACACGCACAACACACATGCACCTCCTATTAGCACAGTTAGCTACGTACGGCGCGAAAGATGTTCAACATTCATACATACAACACACAAACACAACACACGCACAACACATGCATCATCAAGCGCTCACAGCGACATGGTCAAGAGGTCGCACGTCTTCCATTCCTCGCAGAGAAGGCTTCACAGTCTGAGCCCAGTGGGTCACCCTGGTTAATACTGCGGCTGTGGGTAAAGGTGCAGCCCTGATATTCTTTGCTCGTGCCACCGCTGGCAGAAGGGTCTTCCACTCGGGCAAGCTCTAGAGAGGACTATTAACTAGAAAAAAGAGATACTTGCCATCTGCTTCACAAGCCATAACTTTATAAATTAAAAATATTAGGCAGCCATGTCTCCCAAATGTTCTAGATTTGAAAAATTCGGAGTAAATTACTATTCCTTATTTGACCAGGTAAGGCCCCACTGAGCTTCGTAGCTCAGAAGCCACCTGGCCACAAATTAGAACCCAATGAAGTGGTTTATCTCGTAGAAATGTATCGAACGCAAATACTCTAAAACGCATGTCTCTAAATGTGGGGTGGGGAAACCGGAGTATCCAGAGAAAAACCCACGTGATACTGGGGAGAGAGACACGCAAACTTCAAATATACAGGCGTTAGGTTGGAACTCACGATCTCCTGTATACCAGGCGAGGCAGTTAACATCTCGTCACTGTGGCACTACAAACCGGTTAAACTAAACAAAAATAAGTAGCAAATATTGCTCTCTACTGGCAGAGAAGACTACAACCGTCTGTGAAACAAGACCTCCACGATAGCCCTGCACTACAAACACGGAGCGATGGACCACCAATTAAACACGACGAACAATTTGGAACCCAATGAGAAGTGATCGCCACGCAGCAGCAGCAGCATGGGCAAAGCGCTGCCCCCCATCCCGCGAGGGGGCAGCACTGACGCAGCTCCGATGTTCGATGTCGCCAATTGGGCCGCCGACGTCTGCAACTGGGGACGGATGAAATTCCTCTCCGCGTACAATCGGTCGGTCGGCCGCGAAGCTCCACGTTCGTGCTTTCCAGTGGCAAAGCGTACAACTGGGCGACTCTACGACGGGGGGGTTTGATTGCGTGGGCAGCGAGCGTGACCCGTTCGACCACCCCAAGGCCACCGTTGCGTGACGTCGCACTCACGGGCAGGACAGAGGTGAGCTCCTTCAGATAGCGGGCCTCTTGGTAGTTGAAGTCGTACCCCATGTCCCTGCCGAGGTGGCCGATCTGCTTGCCTTGCCTGCGAAGGAAGCGAATCGACGGAGTCACCGCGTGGCGTTAGCGGATCTCCCTTTTTTACGAGGCCAGTGGTTGGAGTGGCAGCAACCCGCCTGCAATCTTGAGTCTATCTATATATATAAAATCGCAAATCTGTCTGTCTGTCTGTCTGTGTGTCGCTGGACCATACGCAGTTTCATTGGACGGCGGTTGCCCCTGGCAACGGGTAGCGACGCATTCGCTGCGGGATGGACGCCATTTTTAATTCCCGTTAAAAATATGCGCACGCATTAACACGCGACTCTGAGGTAAATTCATCAAAGTTTCACGTCCTCTTCACTCCCCCCCACCCCAATGTGTGCTATTACTATTATAGGGTCGGTAGATAATAAAATTATAGCCATTAGACAGTATTATTGTAGCGCGGGGGGGGGGGGGGTTAACGGCCCCAGTACCCAACCTCAGCCGGGTGGGCAATTTAGGCGAGGCCGGAGGCTCTGCACGGTACTAGGCCTCGACACCCCACCACACTATAGGCCGTACATATTACTGCACAGCGGCCAAGGAGATCGTGGCTGGGGGGGGGGGGGGGCAGGGGTAGCAGCCCATCTGTGTATATATGTAAGGTTTTTAAGGAATATATTTTTCACCCGGGCAACGCCGGGTACTTATGCTAGTCCAGGATAAAATAATGCCATTTATTGTGATTATTACTGCACACACACAGAGACAAGACATCCGAGGTCACCCGTCTAACGCTTCTACCAACCATGGCTACTGTTCCCAACAACTCAATGTCTTGTCTCCTGTTTTGTGTCCTCCGGACTGCGATCAACCACCACGCTGCAGGTCACTCACTGTCGTAAAATACTCCACAATTCTACACGGCTGGCCCTTGGCGATTATGACTTCGTCGCCCACGCGCAGCTGCATGTTCGGGACGCGGGACGCCCACTCACCTGAAGTGCCGCACCTGCATCGCCGCTCCTATCAGGTGTGCGTGCAAGATCGTGGCAAAGACCTGGATCTCTCCGCTCTGTCGAGCCTGCGTGTGGCCGCATGGACACAGAGAGACACGCACATGACAATAGATAGACATCAATACGGGGGGTGCCGCGGTGGCGAGATGTTAACTCCCTCGCCCGGTATGCAGGAGGTCGTGGGTTCGATCCCGACCCTGACACCTGCTGTATATTTAGAGTTTGCATGTCTCTCTCCCGGTAGTCGTGAGGATTTTTCTAAATGCATGTTTAGAAACATGCATTTAGAGTCTTTGGCTGCTCTAAATTTCCACGTGACAAGCCACTTGGCTGGGCTATCACTTGTGGCCAGGTCGCTTCTGAGAAAAGAGCTCAGTGGGCCTTAGCTGGTAAAATAAAAACAGACTTAGGCATACATACACACGCACACAAAGACCACCCTATAGCTGTTATAGGCTGTTGAAGCAAGTGGTGTGGCCAGCACCATGCCCAGCCACTTTCGTCTCCCCGGTGCTCATGTATACACATGGCACTGGTGTCCGCTGCTGTCGTCAGGAATCAAACTCAGGCCAACGGGGTTCACAGCACAGTGGGCTAACCGTCGCGCCAGCAGCACACCCCGTTATGCATACAGACCGGATCGCAGGTGCTGGTTGGATTGTTACATCGTGTGAGATGGTATGTTAACTTGTATTTAAGGGCTTGTCTCTTGGATTTTTCCTCACTTGATACAGTGAATTTAGCTGTGACGGTCCCACCTGAAGGCGGGAGACTTCTGTTCCCTCCGAAACGTCGTGATTTAATTGATTTATTATTACTTTATTTCTATTATTATTATTTTTAACCTACGTGACTTTACCGACAAAACCTAAGAGTATGAATCCTTGCAGTCACGAAAGCTTCAAATCTAGAATTAGACGGTATGTTTGTTGAACTTCTAGCCAACCGGGGGGAAGGACAACAAACTCAACACAAAAAGCTGTTATAAATAAATGAGTTTTCAATCTAGATTTAAATGTGCATAGCTCCATTGGCTTGATAATATCGGAAGGAAGAGTGTTCCAGATGGCCGCAGAAGCGCACCTGAAAGCGCGCTATGTGCTGACCGCCTTTGTTCGAGGGCCACTCAAATACCGCCGCTGCGAGGATGGGCGGAGTTTGCGTGATCAGTGTGGCGACGAGGAGAGGCGTTCATCCCTAGTTGACTGACCACGGCTGACGATGATTGTTGTTGATGTCCTCTGGAGTACTCTAACTTTGGACAAACCTCCCACGCGTGCCCGCCCCGGGCCCTGCCGGGGCTGCTCACCGATCTGCCCGGCTCGACTCCCGCCGGGCGAGGCAGGGAGCCGCGGAGCGCGTCTCCGTGCGGACCCACGGTGGAGAAGCCCAGCGTGGGGCAGACGGCGTAGCTCACGAAGGAGGGCGTCACGGGGGGGATGAAGTGGGTGGGTTGCGGGTTGACTCCCACCTCCAGCATCCCCGAGTCGTACGCACGCAGCTCGGACGTGATGTAGAAGCGCAGGCCCGAGCTGTCCGTCACGCCTGGTCATGTGTTTGATGCGCACGGGACACAGGCGCAGCGCCGGGGGGCATGGGTTAGGGTTGGGCCGTGGTTGCCACACCGTCCTGGTTCTTCCCCAGGAGCAGTCCTCTTGTCGACGTAACTGGTGTCTGTTCTGGGAAATCTGTAAATCTTCTATACAGCTCAGTGGGCCTTACGTGGTAAAAATTGTTTAGTAATAGTTTCAAAGCTCCGTTGTTTGATCAGTTTCTAACACAGGCCCCCCGTTACCAGTTATATTTGATTCCTCGCACACAGGGAGCCCCCCCCCCCGGCGCTGCTGGCGCTAACCCTCTCACCTGCCAGCTTGGCTGGGTTGTCGTAGTGGGTCTCCAGCATCACGAACTGGGGGTCCCCTTGCGTGCCCAGGGAGAAGCCCGCCTCAGGGGGGTAGTCGAACGTCTGCACAGGAACACGCACGACGGCGCGACGCTGAGCATGCTCGCAAATTTTGATTGAGTTCACCCCGGGCGAAACCACTCAGGCCAAAAAAGACTCGGCGCAACGGCTCTCTCGAGCTCTCCCTTCGAAGCGAAGGCCCTCTACTGTCAGCAGTGGCTTTGAGCGAGCCATTTTAGGGCTGTGCCTTTACCCGAGAAGGAAACTGACACTATTGAGACACATTTCGTATGATGGACAACAACAACAGGAAAGTTAAAAGCGTGCTGTTCGGAAAAATGAAAAGAACCGGAAAGGGAGAAAGACCTAACGGAGGATGGCTTGACGACGACTCGAGCCATACTGGCACAGGACAGAAATGAAAGTGGAAACAAATGAGGAAATGTGCAGGGGACACCTACGGGGCTATCCGCCCATGGATCGTGATGATGATGACCTTGACCTCCCTAATTCGTTTGCGAATACAATCATCGCTCGTGTCATCCCGATAGGTCGTTTCCCATCTGCCGGCGAAGTGAAAGTTTACTCCGAGAGGAAAAGGGCAAACTTAACTGCGGAGTGGAGGCAGAGAGGAGGCAAGAGGAGGGCGGGAGAGACGGCGGTGAGATGACATCACAGAGTGGAGGCCAACCGCTGGACAGGAGCAATTCGCGAAAAGAATGGATGGGAGACGACGGGGGAGGCATTCGCCCAAAGCAATGGGTAGTTGGTTGGCTACGTACGGCGTGAAAGAAGTTCAACATACATACGTTACTACTTCTGTGGCGCTTCTGCAGTGCTCCCTCTGGGGGAGGTTCTTCTGCCAGCAGTTGCGTGGGGCCAGCACTTGCAGGGCGCCGATCTTTACCTCCTGCCCACCAATTTTTAGTTTTTTGTTACCGCGATCGAAAAAAAGAGGAAAATATAATGCACGAGCTGAGCAATCGAAGGTGCCACTCACGCCGCCGCCCACGGCCCAGCCGGCCATGATGCCGCCGAAGCAGTGGGTGAAGGAGTCGGGCATGTTGGGGTGGTTGCACTCATGGCTGGCTCCAACGTGGGACGCGTTCGCGTTCGCCGAGCACGTGTACACCAGGATGTGGTGCACGAAGGCCTCGTTGTTGGCCTGCAGCCGCGGCACCACCTGGCACGGAGACACGGACCGAAGATCGCCCACACACCCCCGACGAGCAGAGCCGTCTCGACGAAATAATAAGAAGTGGGGCTTAAACCCTTTCTGGCAATAAAACAGGCGTTGTGTGAAGATGTTCAAACACCAAATAGATGCCTTTTTGGCAAAACATGCCAACAAACATGCTCTGATAATATACGCGTTGCCTTTGAAACGAGATTGGCCTACACCAGAGACAGCCTTCTTCATGGCCTCGTCTCTGTACCAGTGTCAGACCAGAGACCGCCAAAAGGCGAACAGCACCAAGACAATGCAAGTATCAGAGACACGGATAGCTCGGGGCGAGCAGTCACATCTACGGGATACCTTTTTTGCCAGTATCCAAAATGATGAAAAATAAGAATGGGGTTTTACCCTTTTTGTCGCTTTCCGGGGTACTTTGAAGATTTACAATTAATTGAAATTGTCACGCGTTGCCGCCACCGCCGCCACCACATGGCGTTCGTCCCTCGCTCTCGCACAGAGGGAAGGGCACGAGGTGCGAGGAGGAACCACAGGCGAGCGGGCGAGGCAGCAGCCACACGCGGTGAACTCATAGCTGTCAACCCGTACGGTTTACCCCGTATTCTTGTCCAGGGAAATTGAGTTTTCATGTCCACAAGGCGCACAGTCGTTTATTTGTGTTTCTCCCTTGTGATGGGACTTTGTAGGATGAACGTTGACATTTTATAAGGGCACGGGGGTGACCAATAAAGTCTGAATTTGTCTGTAATAAGGTAGGCACTGATAAGGGGTTGACAGATATGTGAACTGCTGCCTTGCCTACTAAAAACGACTTTTATTTGACCAGGTAGGACCCGCTGAGCGATACAACAGCTCTTTTTCAGAAGCGACCTGGCTATGACAAATGATATTCCAACGAAGTGGCTTATCACGTGGAGATTTACAGCAGCCAAAGACGCGAAACGCACGTGTCTAAATGTGGAGGGAAAAACTGGATGATCCTGAGAAAAATATATACGTGGCCACGGGGAGAACATGCAAACTCCAAATATACAGGCGTCAGGGTTGGGATTGAACCCACAAACTCCTGTATACCAGACGAGGTAGTCAACATCTTGCCACCACGGCGCACAAGGGGTTAGCACCACGCCCGACCGCCTTTGTCTCCCCAGTGGTGATGTTTACACACCGCACCTAGGTACTCATTTAAGGCTGTGTCTACCTAGGAGAGGCCCACGACCATTTCAGATATTTGTCACTGATGTTAGCCATGAGTAGGAATGAAAATTAAGCCTCAGTCGCTGAGCTCACAGTGCTGTGCACTAACCACTGCGTCACCGCTCCCACCTTGAGTACACGTTGCGTGTTTGGAGGTGCCTTTGGGTTGCCACCTTCTCCGCTGGAGACTAAACCCGGACATGTCTCCGAGTGAGCACGAGGACTCTGATCAAGTCGGTGTGGTTTCTGAACAATACCGGTGCCAGATCTCTGTTCAAATCAATTCCTGCTGACTGAACGCAGAGACACCGATATTCCGCACCTGTCCGGGGTGACACACGCACACACCCCGGGCAGCTGGCACCCATTGCACCGCATCGGTGCGGCCGTGTCTGCCGCCGCGCCCGTGCGCATGATGAGCCCCAACGCGAAACCTCGCGTGGCCCCGCGGCTCACCTTGATCAGGTGATGCTTGCGGTCGAGTTTCGGCACCGGGAAGATCTCACACTGGTAAAAGGTCGACTGCGCTGGGATCTCGAACTGGGGATTAATCGTCGCGCACAGAATGAGGGGGTCGGTCAGGGGCAGAGTTACGCGAGGAGGTGGAGCTTTTGTACTTTGACGGCGAGTGACCGTCGCATGCTGGAATCTCCACAGGCGGCCCGACACGGTCCGACGCAGCGCGGCGGCGCTCGCTTAACCGCCGTCCTCTCTTCAAATGGAGGCGCGGTGCTCTCTGGCCGTACGTAAAGGTCACCGTAGGGGTCAGTGTTTCTAGACTCCGATCCTCACGACCCCACACGTTCTGCCAGTCTTTTAATAAAACTGCCAAATGTGCAGCCCTGAAATTCAGGCCCACAGGGCTTCCAAGCTTCTTCACCACGTAAAGCAGGCAGTGCCCTTGGTGAGCTGCATTTCTTTCATAATGAATGCCGGCCCCCATGAGTTTGTTGGGGCGCTAATATATTCGTCTAATTTTTTTTTACTTCTAACAGCGTTCGCTCGCCCTCGTAGTCGAGAGAGAACGACTCGGATGCACGAAGAGGAACCACAGACGAGCGGGAAGGCAGCAGCCGCGCAGTTAGCTGGCGTCAATAATTACCCAAGCTCCGCGATCCTCGTTATATATTGAGGTGTTCTCGGCCAAGTAACGAGTGGTATACATGTGGGAGGAAACCGGAGCACCCGGAGAAAACCCACGCGATGCGAGGGGGAAACGCTCTATCCCATGCAGACGTTACAAGGTGGAGTCCACATTTTGTGCTGTACCGCCTTCTCAAGAACAGGGTATGGCACCTCACTCGACATCTGCGCGATCCGACCAACCCCCGCTGCCTCCGCAGTGCTGCATTGCCGGCAGCCACGTGCAGCATCAGCCACCGCCGCCCGGGCTCTTGCTCCGTTTGCATCACCCCCCGGGACCGGTTGGCGGAGGTCACCTTGTCGTAATTGACGTCGAAGTGGGCGTGCTGGGAGGGGAGCGGCTGCTCGGACGGAGGTCCGTGCCCCAGCAGCTGGACGCTCATGGAGCCCCGAGTGGTCGGGCCGTGGTACGGAATGTCGGCCTCGCTCGCCGGGTCCTTCGCTCCGTAGGCCCAGACCACGCGGATCGTGTCCTCCTGTCCGGGGGGCGCGACAGCAGCGGTGTCAACGAATGAGTGGACGAACGCGCGAATATGATTAACCAAGTGAACGAGTGACCGCATTAAATGAGTGAATGAGTGAATTAACGGGTGAACGAGTGAATGAGACGCGTGAACGCAGGAACAAATAGCCAGCGGACGAATTAAATAGTAATTCTGGAGCGAACGTGTGGATTCACGAAAGAACAAATGGGTAAAGGAATGAGCGATGAACGAACGAGCGAATGAACGGGGCGAGTCGCTCACGTTGAGCTCCATGTCGTGCGCGTCGCACGTCCTGAGGGGCCGCTGCAGCCGCATGTGCGTGTGCGTGCCGTTCTCCCGGAGCCACACGGCCGAGTAGTCCTGGCTGGCATCGCGCAGCACCTCACGGTCAATCACGTGGCCGTCCTGTCACACAGGGAGAGGTGGGGGGGGGTCAGAAGGAGGAGGCGGAAGGAGACACTTCAGAATCAGAATCTAAATTTGTATTTATTTATTTTACCAGATAAGGCCAACTGAGAGCTGTGCAGCTCTTTTTTCAGAAGCGACCTGGCTTGTCACACATGGCAGCTCGTCAAGGTGGCTTATCACGTGGAAATGTAAAGCGGACCAAATAGTCTAAGCGCGTGGTGTTGATTCTAAACGTGGAGGGGAAAAACCGGAGAACCCGGAAAAAAATGCAAGCGACCACGGGGAGACAGAACACGCAAACTCCAAATATACAGCAGCAGGCGTCAGGGTCGTGATCGAACCCACGGCCTCCTGCATACCAGGCGATGGAGACAACATCCCTCCACCGCGAGCTATGAAGCTCTTTTTCCACAGATGTCCCGATAGTGGCGGGTCAGAAAGTTACACGAAAACGAACAATACAAAAAACACGACAGGAGTGCAAAGCATAGAGGTCGGCAAATCATGAACAAAAATATCAGTTTACTCGGTGGGGGCAGAGCTTAAACACATCAACTGCAGTGCAGGCCTCCTCTGGCAGACGACGGCGGGCGCGTACTAAAGCTTGTTTTGTTTGTTGGGTCAGATCGTGTAAATGTCAATGTGTGTCGCTAAACCCGCCACCACCCGACAATTCGCAAGTAAACCTTTGTTAGGGGCAATATTGGTCGCGGCGTTGAACTGACACGGGCGTTGAGCAGCTGTCTACCAAGTGCCCTCACCATGAAGTGGGCAGCCCCCGTGCCGTCCACCCATCCCAGCGCCACGTCCGAGCCCGCCATGCTCCCCGTGGGGCTGAAGCCCACGGCCACCCAGCCGAGGGTGCGGACCCGGACCTCCATGACGATGCGGTCGGCGTCGAAGCCCCACGACAGCTGCAGGTCTCCCTCGCTGGCCTGGGCGCTGAGTGGCAGCTCTCCCTCGACGTCCAGAGACCTCGAGGAGGCAGCAGCAGCAGCAGGAGCCGCCACCAACATCGCCGCCACCAACATCGTCACCGGCATCTTCGTCGGCATCGCGGCGTCAAGAGCAACCGAGCGGGATCGACGCCACCCGCGTGCGTATAGGGTAGAGGTGCAGCCCTGCAACTGCAGGTGGAGTCGCCCAAGTGCCGGATTATCCAAGTAGCAAAAGTAGCTGCATAAGTAGTAGCTACGGGCCCCGCACTTTCAAGGGCCCCGCGCTAAATGCTTTAAAGCTATCGATTCTGGTTCAGTGATTCTGCACTTGCTCTATTACTATAGTACTATACCGCCTTCAACTTGTATGACCGACTGGGTGTTTAAGGTTAGCGATTTGTCGTATTATCTGGCTGTATAGAAAATTTACTATGCAAGTTAAAAATGTTTGTTTGAATATGTATGTCGCCCTCGCCGGAGGAAGATCTAGAGAACCTCAACTACGCTGCTCAAACGTCTTGCAAGGGTTATGAGTGCCCACACTTTACCCCACCACACGCAACCTATCGATGGGCAATTTTTTTTTATATGGATGCGGTGAACAACAAAAAAAACGGTTTCTTAGCACGGTGCGCTAACCACCAGTTATTTTTGTTACGAATTGAGTATTCTAAGAGTTGTTGTTCTGTACTGGATCGATAACTCGCGTGTGAGCGCTGAAGCTGAGTTATCAATTAATTACATTTACCGCAATTGGTGGAAGGTAAAACTTCGCTCGGCTGTTCAGTGCGGCTGGGAGCGAGTCTGCTGCAGGTCTTCTCCTGGTCCCCACTCTTCGCGCTGTTAAATAGCCGCTCGACAGATACGACGGACTGGTCAGGTGAGTAAATGTCGCAACTTTCCGGAGATGACCAACGTGATAGCGGTGGCTCAACCTCAAGTCCAAGACTCCGAAAAGGTCCACGGGTGAATTCCGCCATCTAACAGTGCCGTGACAAGTCGGATCGACACCACTCGCACCACGCGACCAAAGTTCACGTGGGCTTCATGGATCCGTCATCGCTGCCTTGCCCCTATCGGAGGTCGGGGGCGATAAAGGGCTCGCCGTAAACAGAGCCTCGTCATACCACGTGCGAGTGTCTAAGACTGTGTATAGTCCTGTAGAGGCGGTTGTGGTGGTGGAAGACTTTCACGCACAACCACATAGGTACGTGCACGGCCCCCGATGTATTTGTCAATCCACAACCAGGTCTCGAAACAAATGGGGGACATCTGTTGCAGGGGGCCCCAACTGAAAAAAACAAAAACACCAGAGTGTATACACACCCAAGGCAGTTGTCGAAGCGGTAACCAAATCATGCAATGACGAGGCAGACGAGAGCGGGTTGCAGTGCTTGGGGAAAGCTGAATTTGAAAATGAAAATCAACTTACGAATATGAATATGGTAATGTGCCAATGAAGGAGGTGTTTAATCAGTGCGGGCTGCATGCCAGCGTCACATTGAAACAACCACCAAGCCGCGAACATTGTTAATGTGCGGCCATTGTGTAGGTTAAGGTGACCACCAACGCAAGAGTGAAGAAGCGATTGTGCCCACCCACTGTGACACCCTGCCGCCATTTGTACAATATAATCGGCCACGTGGCTCAGTGGGCACGCGGCTAATAACCGAAACGAAACAAAGCGAGACTTTCCGTTGACTTTGAGCTGCTTTATTGTGTACACCAATTGTAATCGATAATTTTCAGAGGTGGGGGGGGGGGGGCTGGCAATTTCGCCGATGAGACATCATCAGTGTGAGAACCACCACACGTTTGAAACAGTTTCGGAGTAGCTACATAAGTAGCTACGGGCCCCGCAATTTCAAAGGCCCCACGCTAAATGCTTTCAAGCTATCAATTCCCATTCAGTGATTCTGCACTTGCACTATTACTTTAGTACTATACCGCCTTCAACTTTTATGAACGACTGGGTGTTTAAGGTTAGCGATTTGTCGTATTATAGTAAATGAAAAAATACATTTTACGATGCACGTAAAAAAGAGTGTATATTTATTTATTTATTTTCTTTTTCTTTATGGCCCCTTTATAATATATTCTACAGGCCGCGCACTAGCTTAATCCGGCACTGATTTGAAACCATTGTTGGGTTTGACAGCAGCACGATGATGATGATGGGTGCTGTTGTCACTCTTTGTGTGTTGTCAGGGGAACGCACGTCAGGGGCCGCACTCAAGACCACCAGGGGCCGTCAGTGGCCCGCGGTGGCCTTGTAATGAAGAACGCTGGTCTCCATGCAGGCAATAGAGAGGACAATTGTTCCTCGTTCGGTTTGAAGCTTACAGCAGCATTTGACCGGACATCATCCACTGATGACGTAACGCATCCTTGGCGTGCATGAGGAAATGGCAGATCTCTCCATGATGTCAGATCTCTGAAGCTCAGTGTGGTTTGAGCCTGGACAGTTCTTGGATTGGCAACCACCGTGCATGAACACAGGTGTTATACAGAGGCTGTGGTGCTGCGGTGTGGACAGCAGAGGGCAGTGCTGGGAAATTAGATGTTGTACTCTACTCATGTTACCACGTCTATGCTCCCCACCTATTTGTCTGAGTTTGACCCAAGCACTCCGGCTATTGGCATCTGTATTCGGGTACCGATATCTGGTACCAGTAATGTGTTGAACTTTATTGCAAAAAACTTCACGGCTTTGTTAGACATTGTACTGATAAAAAAGGTCAGAGTTTGGTTTACAATGAAAAATGGGGTAACCCTATCCCTGCTTTAATTCACCAAACAACACTGGATCATTGTTTAGGAGGCCTTCATCCAGCAGTGGATTGACAAAGGGGCTATGAAAGAGAACTTATCTTCAATTGGATCAGGTGCCCAGAGGCAAGGCTCGTAGAGAGTGGTCTGATTGGCGTACAAACTTTGACCCGTAAAAACGTTTATCTCAAAAGCCACTGATTGTGTCACGCCGCCACACTCACCCACGTCATTCATTGCCCTCACTCGTGACTGTTCGGCCACCACTAATACTACGTCCCCATGAGCACTCTCAAGTATGCAGGCCCCCGATTTACCAAATCAGGCACTAGAGTTGCCACAATTAATTGTTTACATGACACAGGGCAGGTGAGGGCATACAGACTTTCAAAAACCTTTGGCAGCCAACAGCACATTAATACGCTGGTGGTCTAATGCTCCAGGATTCAGTTTTTGACTCATCTAAAAAGCCTTGGCACCATACTCGACAGGAATATTGTCGTTTGATCACCGCGTGCAAAATATAGTCAGGTCCTGCAATTTCCATATCAGGGCTGTACGACACATTCGACTCCTATTGAGTCGTGACAGCCAACATGGTGGCATGTAGTGTAGTATCGACAATGACGATTATGCAACTCCCTGCTCTACGGGACGTTTGCCAAAAACATCAGCAAGCTACAGTGTGTACAAAATTATCTTGCACGTGAAAAAACGGGGTACTGCAAAACACGACCATGTCTGTCCAGTGCTCACCCGAGCTGCATTGGCTTCCATTTGCCAAATGAATACATAAGGTCATACTCATTACACACAAAGTGCTTGCCACAAATTAGCCTCAATACCTTGCTGATCTCATCAAGGAGCATAAACCATCACGCGAACTCCGGTCATCCTTGCAACAGCGGCTTTTGGCTCGCCATCGAACAAAGATGGTCACCGCATCACGCGCTTTCAGATGCACTTCTGTGGCCATCTGGAACGTTCTTCCCTTCCGATATTAGGAAGCCACTGGAGCTCTGCACTTTCAAATCTAGATGGAAAACTCATTTATTTAGAACTGATTTTTGTGTTGATTTAGTTGTCCTTCCCACGCATCTCCAATTAGCACGATTGGCTACGTACTGTGTGAAAAAAGTTAAACATATATAAAAGATACACCTCAGTCGCTGCTGTTACTGCAAGAGACCCTTGTTGATGTGGTTGCAGAAGGTCTATTGCTTATCCAGGATTTAGCAATGCTTGCAAAGTGGTTGGCATGTTATTTCGATAAGATTTCCAAAAACGAGAGGAGCCTGACGTAACTTTTTACATTTCAAAACTTGTAGCCAATATTCCCGATGTTGAGACATATCTCTGGGTCTGTAGAGTATACACAGCCACTAGAGCAGCGGTGGCCAATACACAAGCGCTGTGATCCAATTAGGTGAATCTCAAAGGGGCTGTGCGATCCAACAAACAGCTACGGCCAACAATGACGTGGATTTAACCCTGGAACACAGCACAGCATTCCCTCGCTAACCGCGGATTCACGTGGACACGGTTTATTATTTCTATGCGAAATGTACCAACCGCGGCCTGGAAAATTGAGGATTCCTTTGTAAGCATGGGGTCCGCATTACAGCGTCATCCGTGGCCACCCGTGTCGCGGCGTCGTCCGTCTCTTTTGCTGTAATGTGCTGCACCTCTCGCAGCGCACAGACAGCGTCGCATCGCAACCGCAATCACGTTCACCTTTACCCGTTCTGAGACGTCTGCAAGTCGCAGGGTGGGTGTCGCATTCTTCATCGAATCTGAGAACGTGCAAGCGGTTGGCGTTAATTTTATTTGAGATGCATAGTAGCACGGTTGTTTTTTAAAGACATCGTACTCACCGCAGAGAACTGTAGCGACACCACCGCACTCTACGATAGTTGGCGCCAAACTGTGCCACACGCCCTCCCGCATGGCCTTGTGGGAGCCTCCGTATGTCTTCCGACCTGAAAACGTAACGATAAAGTTATTTTATTTTTTCTTCCGATTCCGATAACGTACACATATGCCTGTCCAATTATTTGTCATTAATGACCCGGAGGAAGAGGGCGAGAGTGGGCTGAGTTCCTCCTCCTTATAACCACCACTCCCCCCATCATCTCATTGTCATTATCGTTAATATTAAAGGTATGTAAAGTCAATGTCACGTATATTTCTTTAATGTTATTGTTTAATGTACCTATTTTATTCGATGTTTAGTTAATAGACAGGCACATTAGTTATGCTATGATGAGTCTGACAGCGGCTGTGGTTCCCATAACCCCCTATTTCCCATAGGCTCCCAGTACTTGACCAACCGCGAATTTTCCAACTGCGGCCTTTTCCAGGTACATAACCCCCCAGTGGTTGGCGAGGGATAGCTGTACACGCAGTACTAGCGCCATCTATTGGTAGAAGTATGTACGTTTTTAAGGTCCGAATTCTAAGTGGGGTATTTTTATTTGCCATTAACAATAACGAGCATTGTTGTCTGCTTATATCAGTGTTTGTTCTCATTTGTCTTGAGATCCACGATGAAAGATTGTTGCAGTCCACCCGTCAACCGCGATCCACGTTTTGACGACCACCGCTGCATTATCGTCACAACTTTAGAGCCGGGCTAGATTCTCATAATTAAATTATCCATTACTCTGCTGATTACCTATTCAATGGCTCAAGCAATTATAACATGGAATTAGTTGCGAAAAAAGAGTAATGTCCCCATATGTGCTGCTGGACGGGAGGTGATGGGCGAGGCTTGGTGATGACATCATCGGCCACGTGACGGTGGGCGCGGCATGTAAGGGGGTTTCCCGCCTTCCCCAGGCAGGGTGTGCGCGCGGCCGCCATTTTAATGGAGCCCAAGTAGTGAACCACAGAAAAGTAGTGAATGTCATGGACTTCATTGACTATTCATCCCAACTATAGAGAAATCATATACATTCAGCACTTGCACCCCAAAGTAAATCATAGTTACAAAATGGTGCTGAGCTCACGAATGGAACTCCTAAGGGCAATGATTATCCTGTTTGTGATTGCTTACAGTGGTAATTGACCTTACATCAAACCACTGATATAACACATTATTGGCGTGCATTAGAAAATGGCCATTTTGTCTATGAAGTCAGATCTCAGAAACTAAGCTGGGCAGTTCTTGGATTGGCAACCACCGTGCATGAACACAGGTGTTATAGAGAGGCTGTGGGGCTGCGGTGTGGGCAGCAGAGGGCAGTGCTGGGAAAAAAAACCCACCCAGGGTTGCTGCCTTTCTGAGTTTGACCCAAGCACTCCGGCTATTGGCATTTGTGTTCGGGTGGCAGCGGTTGATTTATTTACCTTATATCTGGTAGCAGTATTGTGTTGAACTTTATTGCGGTAAACTTCGCGGCTTTGTTAGACATCGTGCTGAGAAAAAAAGGTCAGAGTTTGGTTTCCAATGAAAAATGGGGCAACCGTATCTCTGCTTTAGTTCACAAATCTTAATTCACCAAACCGCACTGGATCATGGGTTCAGAGGCCTTCATCCAGCAGTGGATTGACAAAGGGCTATGAAAGAGATTTGGATCAGGTGCCTAGAGGCAAGGCTCGTAGAGAGTAATCTGATTGGCAGACAAACTTTGACCCGTAAAAACGTTTATCTCAAAAGCC